ATTAGAATTAATGTATTGTTTATTAGAATATTGTAATAGTTATAACTAATAACACATTTTTTATTAAATATAGATTTTTAACAAATATAAATTCTTAATAACGGCCAAGTGTCAAACGTAAAAGTGTCCCTGTCATTGTGTCAGTCATTCTTTTAGAAAACAAAAAAAAATTAGGAGAAATTAAACAATATTACCACACATTAAAGAATTCAAACTAAAATGTCTAGATTCTTAAACAGATAACACTATTTAAAATAATTATAAAGGTTATCAATGTTCACATCTAAACAAAATATAAAACTAGAGTTAAATAACTAAAAAAAAAAAATTGAAGGGGGGTGTTGGCGCCCGAAGGCAAGTGCGTTTAAGAAAACAAAAAACAAAAAAAATTAGAAATTAAACAATAGGACCACACATTAAAGACTTCAAACTAAAATGTCCAGAAACTTAACAGAAAAAACTATTCAAAATGATAAGTTAAGGAAATGCTAATATAAACATTCAGTGAAATTTTCATGTATCTACAGTAATTCGTTTTTGAATTACAACAAAATAAGGAAATCACTACATGAGAAATCGATTGAACATCCAATGTTGTAGAAATTTGAATTTCAAACGCTCATAAAAATTTAATTTGACTGTCCGGTAAAGATTTTTTTATTGATGAAGGTAGACAAACTTATGAGTAATCTTGTATTACATTTTAAAATCTTAGATTTAAAAAGAAAAATTTTTACGAATTCTTAACTCAAAATAATTTGCTAATTTTCGTGATTTTTCCATATTTTGTCAATTTTTGAACTTTAAATGCTTATAAAAAAAAACTGTGACTAACGATTTTTAATATTTTTCATCTGCCTTTTAAACAATATACTAGGAGCCTTCTATTAAATTTTCAAGTTTTTTTAACCAACAAATAAAATTTTATTGATATTTCTAGAAAAAAAACTAAAAAAAAATGAAAAATGAAAATGTCCCTAAACAGTTCAAAATAAATCAAAATATTTTGAAAATGTTATCGTGTATAGAAGATGCAAATATAAACAACCAGTGAACATTTCATGTTTTAAAGTTGCACCAAAAACCAAATTCAATTTTCTGAAAAATCGATTTTGCGTAAAAATTCCCGTTTTTCATTAATTTTTCTTTTGTTTTTCTTGGCGCTTTTGAAAAGTACTGGGTATTTTAAATTTTGACCTCCCCAATGCACCAACGATATTCACTTTCCAATCGAACAAGATACTGAAGTTGAAAATCGAAGAATTATTTCAACTACTTATCGTGTACACAGACACAAAAAAATAAAAAAACACACATCATTGTAAAATCAATACATTCATCGTTTCACTCAGAATCTAAAAATGGAAACTTAAAATGTCAGTATACAGCTCAAAATGAGTCAAGATATTTGGAAAATGTTATGGTGTATAGAACATGCTAATATAAACATTCAGTCGACATTTCATGTACCTAAGGTAATTTATTTAAGAGTTGCACCAAAAACCAAAATTGATTTTTTCGAAAACAGATTTTGAGTGAAAATTCCCGTTATTCCTTAATTTTTCTTTTGTTTTTCACGGCGTGTTTGAAAACTAGTGGAAACATTTTACTTTTGACCCCCCAAAATACCAACTAGATTCACTTTCCTTACAGAAAAGATACTGTTGAAGAAAATCCAAGCACTGTTACTGTCCTAAAAGGTGTTGACAGACACACAAAAAAAAAAAACACATCATTGTAAAATCAATACATTCATCGTTCCACTCAGAATCTAAAAGTGATTCCTAAGAAGCATAGTCTAGAAGTTTTTAAATTCAGCCATTTTTTCGAAATTACAATCGAACTTCGGGAAGTATGATTAATTTACTACCGTCTTTAGTAGTTTTATTGTCATGCAAACAAGAATATATTTAATTTTTCGAGAAGTATTGACGAAATGTATTACTCCTTAAAATATGATACTGTGCAGACTCTTTAAGAGGACGTTGCAGCCGTATGTGTCTCTCCGTCTTATAAATGTAGGTACAACATAGCCCTCAATGAGGTACCTCGGTGTTCAGTTGGACAAGAGGCTTAACTTCGGTGCCCATATCAGGCTAGTGACGGCAGCGGCCAGGCGAGCGGTGTCCGCTCTTGGAAGGCTGATGCCGAACGTGCAGGGGCCTTCGGCTTGTAAGAGGCGGCTGCTTATGTCGGTGGCACACAGCAAGTTGCTGTACGCTTCACCGGTCTGGGCTCTGGCGGCGGTGAGGGCAGCTCGGAATAGGGTAGCCCTCAGTCAGGCGCAGAGAGGTGCCGCTATTCGGATTGCGAGGTGCTACAGGACCGTGTCTGATATGGCAGCTCTGGTTTTGGCTAGAATACCTCCAGCCCACCTGCTGGCCGATGAGCGACGCAGAATCGAGGAGCGAAAGCGGGAGCCCACGACGGTGGCGGTTATAAGAAGGCAGGAGCGCGAGGTAACGCTGCGCGAATGGCAGGTAATCTGGGATCACACGACGAAGGCGGCTTGGACGAGGAGGATGATTCCAGACATCAGGAGGTGGGTGCATCAGTCAAATCACGAAGCCATGACTTTCCACATGGCTCAGGCTTTGACGGGTCATGGATGCTTCCAGCACTACCTGTGGAAGAGGAGGAGAGCAGATGACCCCCACTGCATGCACTGTGATGAGCCGGACGACACTGTGGAGCACACATTGTTTAACTGTCCGTTCTGGGCAGAAGACAGACGGGAGATGGAGCAATGCGTCGGCCGGCCACTACAACCCAATGATGTGCCGGATATCATCCTGGGACCGGAACAGGAGCTCCTCCCAGATGCTGCATCCAGGAGGCGGCGTATTGAGGCGATGGCGGAGGGACTGAGGTTGGCGTTTGGCAGAATGGTGGAGGCGATTCTCGGGCGGAAGGAGGATGCAGAGCGGGTTAGGCAGGCGCGATTATTTTAATGGTAACTGAGTTTGTGGGCCGAAGGCCAAATACCTAGGGTGGTTAGAGGCCCCCACGTATGTACTTTATAGTTTATATTATAGTTGTATTTTGTAGTGACGGTGAATAAACGATACGGGCTCGGGTGGCAGTATTGTGCTAAACAGTTCCCACCCGTTCCTGTTTATAAATTTAAAAAAAAAAAAAAAAAAGGTACAACATAGCAAAAATTGTTTTGCGCGGGAAGGAACTGAGATCCCTACAGTCATAAGCATAACTTACTAAGAAACGACATTTTCACTACATAAAAAACTAAAAAGTAATTATATAAAAATATCGTTTTTATTTTTCGTTATCGGATTTTCAAAAAAAATTATTCAAGTTTGAAAAACACAAATAATAATGGATTTTGAAACAATAAGAACATTTTTCGTATAAGCGATACCAACAAAATAAAAACGATATTGCACGGCCAAAGTTTTCCTATATATGTGGTGAAAATTTCGTTTCTTAGTTATGACTCTAGCCTTCTCGGTTTTTTCCCGCGCCAAAACGTTTTTGCTATGCCGTACGTGTGTAGACGGAGACAACATAATATTATGCAGGTGCGATTCCTCTTAATAGTCACAACAACTTTACACTATAATCACTATGATACAATATATTTGTATATTGACAGCTATTAAATTCGTAGAATGAAAATGTCAATATTTTAATAACTATTACCTATAAGAACTTCTCAAGACTGTAAACAAAAATACGTTTCCTGATTTGAAAAAAAAAATTGTATTTCGTATTTCTATTTACTTTAAATGAATAATAATAATAATAGTAATAGGTACAAAATCGGGGCCCCCAATTACCATAAATAAGCCGGGGCCCAATTGCGGACTAGCAGTCCTGGTCAGTCCGACTTTGGACTGACAGGAAGGTAACAAATGGATCACTGTAATGGATTATGGTATTACATTTGAATTCAATGATATCATATTATCATTGTATACGAAAAACGATTCTGAGCAGAGACGGTTTGTCAGCCTTGGATATATTTTAGATTCTGAGCGGAGCAATCAATGTATTGATATTACAATGATGTGTTTTTTGTGTGGCTGTTATCACCTTTTTGGGCAGTAAAAATGCTTAGATTTACTTCAACAGTATCTTGTTCGATGGGAACCTGAATCTAGTTGGTGCATTCGGGAGGTTAAAATTTAAACTTCCGAGTTGTTTTAAAAAGCGCCAGGAAAAACAAAAAAAAAAAAAATGTTATGTTTACCTACCTACATACAAAAAAAAACATTTTTAAATCAATACATTCATCGCTCCGCTCAGAATCTAAACAATTAATATTAAGGGGATTCGATACCTTGATTTTCTGTTTTTGTCTAACACATGCGTGACATAGTTTCTTAGACGTGTTTTTTTGTCAAACATACCGATTGATCTAATAAAGCGATAAGAATTCTGAAAACAGATTTGAATTTGTCGTCAAGTCTACTTGAAATTGACTTTCTCACATTTTTTATATTATCCCCCCCCCCAAAAAAAAATTCCTAAAAATGTCATATTACAAAAGAATATTTAAAAATTGTTGTATTTCAATTTTCGGAGAAGTTAAAATCAAAAAATCAAAAATGTGGGAAAGTCAATTTCAAGTAGACTTGACGACAAATTCAAAACTGTTTTTAAAATTCTTATCGCTTAATTAGATCAATTGGTATGTTTGGCAAAAACCACGTCTAATATACTATGTCGCGCTTGTCAGAAAATCACGGTATCGAATCCCCTTAAAATAATAGTAATACAACTCAAATTATTACACACCTAATGCACGTTCATTTTATTTATAAATTATTTTATACTCATCGAATGATATAAATAGATATCTTACTTTAGATTCAATGATCACGTCATAATATTACATCTTTAGATGTAATCTTTTTATTAACCATACGGCTAAACATTGTTTTTCTTATAACATTCATGTAAAAAAAAATCCAAAGATATTAAAAAGAGTATAGTATAATTATTAAAACATATTTTGGGTCGTTTATTAATTGTGGCCAACTTCATTGACATGGGTTGGTACCGTACTTGTTGGTTTTTGCGATGGCTGAGCACGTGCCGATGGACAAGTGATCTTCGACGGTGTTGGCGAAAGCGGCGGCTACTTGTGGCAGATGTCCCTTGTCCTCTTGACTGTCATGTGACCACGTGGTTATCTTGTACACTTTTGCGGTGGCCGAACAAAGGCAGTTGGGCCTTAGTACATCGTACTCGATGCTCAGCCTGACCCGGTCCATGACAAAATCGATCACGTGGCCGGGCCGCTGCAGTTCGGCTAGCTCTGAGACGACGTGCAGATTAAACGTACCGTTAAGGTTGTGCAACGTGTGCTCGACGGCGACCATTAACACGCCCGTGTTCGGTTCGGTCCACACAGACTTCACCTTTTGCAACGCGGTATCCAGGCCGTCGACGAACGGGTCGCTGACTGCGAAGAACCGTCCATTGTCCAGCCGACCGGCGGAGGCCGGGAAGTGTGGGTCTGACCGGTTCCTGTACTGTACATACGGCTGGACTGCCGCTCTGATGGCCGACGTCACGTTCTGCCGTGTCATTTCCAAAACGTAGTCCGCGACGTGTGCAAATGCCACTTCTTCCAAGAAATACCTGCATGGAGCACACATTGCGGAAATAATTTTAGTTACGCTTTATAGGCTATAGTCTATAGCTAATGAAATTACTTAAGTTAGGTACTTAAATTACTTACTGGATACCTACTATATATGTAAATATATCTGAATGAAACTATATGTTTAGAGGGAAGCTTTGGGCAGGATTTAGGAGTCATGGGGCCCATGTCCTAGACTTCTACAAATTATTGAAATAAAAATATGGGTCTATACCATATACCGCATACCAAGTACTAGGTCTATGGTACCGTATACCTTCTATACAGAAGTATTATTTTCCTAATTATATTACAAAAGATGATTCACCAAGCATGCTCACCCTCTATTTTTTTTTCAATACTCACCTAATCCATTTGTTCAAAATTTGATTTTTTAAATTTTAAAAGGTAAACTTAAAGGTATACATCAACATTTAAAAAAAGGGGTTTTAATTAGAAAAACAGAAGTTTGTGTCACCACGGAGCACTCCTTATAGTTAGTGAAAAAATATGTCCTTATAAGTTTTCATGCTCAATGAATCCCCCTGCATAATGCTCGCTAATAATAGAATAATATAATTCTAATTAATAATACATATTTTTTTTTATAAACACAATTTGTTTGTAATAAATAATATATTATTATTAACGGGGTGTTTTGTAAATTGTATTAAGATTAGCTATTTTTCCATTTACCGTGTAGCCAAAAATCCGTCTGAAATTGCATAGTTTCCAGTAAAAGTAGCTCTAAATTTACCATAAGATATGGCTGAATTTGGCGCCGACAAAGGGTACAATTCTATGTTTTTGGATAACGGCGTGTCGATCTGATACATAATGTTGTCCACGAAAATTTTATATTCGCCAGTTACGTATCTCCACTCGTCTACAAATACATATCTGCCAACAATTTGTAGCTCTTTCCAAGCTATCTCTGTGGATACCTGCATCATATCGACCATACGCAATAAATTATCTTTGTCAATAATAGAGAGAGGATATTTTAAATGTTCACTTTCTACTAATTATATTCTAGTTCTTAGTTATAAGTTATAACTTATAAGTTATAATATTAGAGCACGTTATTTATTATTTTATCAAAATTACTTATTTGTTAACTATCTATATAAAACTGTACAGACACAAACACCAATACCACTATTGTGACTCATTGAAGACTAGACCATTATAGTCCATTATAGTCCATTCATTCAGTGTTTATACAGCTATCACCTCTTCATCAATATTTAATAAGACATATCATATATCAGTGGCGTAGCCAGGGGTGGCAAGCGGGATATAACCCCCCCCCCATTGACTGTGTTGACCTTAGAATTTTATCAAGATTAATACAAAAATAAAAAGTGTAAATAAAAGACATATTGTATTTGTATATTTTTGTATTTTTTTATGAGACCCCCCCCATTCCCCCATACAAAATTCCTGACTACGCCACTCGTTATATGAGCTGGGTCCTCTTAACTCTTATGGCAATTCCCACGACCATAACTTACATTATAATATATTCTTAGATTAGTAGAGTTCACGAGTCAAGACACTTTCCTAACATTATGCGTTTATGATGTATATATACAATATTAACTCAATTTTTTTACCTTTAAATAAAGAATAATTTTAATAGAATATTATAGGTACCCGTGTTTGTTGGTCAGTCATGGTTGATGAATAGGTCTCCATGTTTAGTTATTCTTAATATTATTATTATAGGCAGAAGCTCACTGTTATTTTAGATATTATAGTTGAGCTACTGCCCACTAATATGTATATATCATATATTATTATAAGTTATAACGTATACTAATGTAATAATTTAAATTTTAAGCTATGGCTTACCAGGTCTTGTGACCATCGTATGACGATATTATTGCTTTTAAAATCCAATAGGCCACTGATGGTATTATTTTCGAATACGATGTTGGAATTTATTAATGATGCTCTGGTCTTAGGTAAAATCAAGGTATCGTTGAAATATCCTAATGGTGTTTCTGCATCGTATACACGACCATTATGTTCTGAAATAACATCATACTGAATTTTATACGCCCAAAACACGGCGTTTTGAATTTCTTCATTTCTATAATATTTGTTGCGCATCAAATCGGGTAACGATTCTGGTACTGTGTTATCGTCCACGGTCCAGTTTACAGGAGAATCTAAAAATAATTGCAACATTTTAATAATTAAGTTATTTTTCTAATCATTTAAAATTAACTGTTACCTGCTGATGACAACACAAAGCACACTGTGATTAAAACCAATAACGATATCATTTTGAACGTAATAAAATGACTATAAACGATGAGTACCTATTAAATATTAATACATATCGCATTCTATACAACCTTATATATAGGCAGTAGGCACAGAGTTTCACTCCATGCTTCAATTTTTGTCCTTGTACATACCTGCCTGCATATTATACTACATACTTTATAGTTTATACTTTATAGGTATTTAAATTTTAAATACCCCTCTACAAATTGTTTGCTTAAATATTAAGACTCATACATAACTATATTTAAATACAAAATTAAATAATTAATTAATTTAGCTCTTAAAATAGTTTCTTTAATCAGATCTTATTGGCCATCCTGGAATTTTAAGTAACTCTAAAAAAGAAAAATATTTTAAGCTTTTAGATTCTGATCGGAATGATGAATGTTTATTTTTACAATTATATTGTGTGTGTTTTAATTTCTGAGCAGAACGATGAAAGTAATGATTTTACAATGATAAGTGCTTTTTGTGTGTGTTTAGGTACACATTGTGTAGTAGAAAAATTAGATCTTACATTATGAGGGTGGCTTCTGATAGAAAATTGGATCTAGTTTGTACTTTGAGGAGGTCAAAATGGGCAATACTTTTTAAAATAATTTACAAAAAAAAAAAAAAAATAAGAAAAAGAATTTCACACAAAACCAGTTATGATAAAATCGATTTTTTATTTCATTGAATTCAAAAATAAACAAATGAGATATTTGAAATGCTCATCAAATATTAGCGTATTCTATACCTACTAATATAATTCAAATTTTTTTTTCTTTTAGATCTACTTATAATATTATTATGTTCGATATTTTAGTTTTTTTCTATAAATGTCGATTAAAAATATTAGATGAACCCGCATGTGTTGTCTCCGTCTTAACACATACGTCCGACAAAACGCGTTTACCCAGTCAGAGTAGAACTCGTTCCATTTTGGTGTAGTACAACATTAAAAGATGGCAATATTTTGGAGGACAAACGGTGAGTTTTCGGATGAGTTAAAGGTCATTTAAAAATGTTGGGATTTTCTCTATTTTTAAACGATATAATGAACGTGATATTGGAATTAATGGAAAAAACGCAGTTTCGCCCTAGGAAATATTGTCACAATTCAACTTTATAATAGGTACCTATATTTTACTCTAGAACCAAAATTGGCAAGTTCTATTCAGACTGCGTAAATTCGTTGTGTCTATGCCATACGTGGGTACGAACTAGGATACAACACAGCAGGTGTAACGTTATCTTAAGTCTCAATATTTTAAACATAAACAGATTAGGACATTTAAAATAAAAATATTTTTAGTTTTTTTTTTCATGTCGATAACATTTTTAGGATCTGTAAAAAGGTCAAACATTTAATATAAATTCCCAAGTATACTTTTAGCAATTTAAATATATTTATAAATACATAGTCATGATTTTTTTATATCATAAACGTTTTATTTGTACATTATTTTGTAGTTATAAATGTATAAAATGTTCAATTTTTATAACTAAGACTTGTACATTTAATATAAGATTCAACATGAATATTTCATTCTGTAACTATAAAATCTAAACATATTTTAGTTATTTTGATGAAATTTAATAATTTTATTCATTCCCAATTGTAATTTTTACGTACCTACCTATATTATTATATTTTTTTGTTCTATTAGGGTTAAGGCTTAGTAAAATGCAATTCATTATGTTACCAATATAATATCAAAATGTTACCGAATTATTTTATGGCAGTCAATAATTAAGTTTCTAATATATTACCTACCTAGTATGTTAATATGTACTAACCATTAGGTACTGCCTAATACATATGTGATATGTCCTATATAATATACATACTATATCCATAGACCATAAACATTTATTATACATTATATATACCTAGTGAACAGTCAATCTAACATAAATCTATACCTATCCAGTATCCTATATTATTAATTATTATGACTATTATAATTATGTATATTGTCTAGGTTTTCAAACTAAGTAATAATATAAGTAGGTATTTAATATAGTAGGTAATATATAAATAATATGTGTTTACTACATAGTACTACCTATAGTATATCCATTATCCATATAGGTAGGTACCTATTAGATACCTACCTACTTAGTGAACCACCAATCTAACATAGAACAATTCTATATGCCTACTGGCTACTATATATTATTATGACTATAATAATTAATAATTATATCTATATGGTCAAATGTAGAATTCTTCTTGATTTTCAAACAGGAAACAGATAATGGAATTTATTGAAAATGTAATAAATGTACCTACTAAACTATAGCAGTGGTTTTTCATGGTCATTGCATTATGTGGTAGGTAAATATTTATAAAAATATTGCCTATTTATTTCTATAAGAAAAAATTAAATAATATTAATAAAAAATATAATGAACTATACTAAATAACCTACTTGTAATTGTATACCATAATCAAGTGTAGGTATAATTAATTATTTTTACTATTTTTATCATTATCATTTTTTAAGTTTTTACTTTTTTGAATGACAATACTTTTTTAACTTCATATTCCAAAGTAGAATGTTATTGAAAGTATTTCAATCTATAAAAATCAATTTTGGACAATTAAGTTCACCAATAATATCTATAAGCATTTAAAGTTTAGATTAGTGCATAGTGGAGTAGTAAGTGGACAACATTTTGCGGGGTAGACGGGCGTAGGTATAGCTACAGGTATAGCTGTTCCCAGGCCCTATTATTTGTAAAATTTCGGACTGCACATTTCATTTTATTCTCGCTACCATCTTAGAAAAGGAATGTATTACATAATACATATTACATATATATATATATATTATATACTATATGTATATAATAATTTAACAATGCAATTCAATAAAACAACAAAATACTTATCTTTTAATAAAAATCATAAAAATTAAATAGCATAATATAATAATAAAAACCTTAACTTAACTTTTTAATAATTAAAATCATAACAATGCATATTACTTTCTTGATTTTTCATCGAGTAACTATGGTAATTGAAATGAAAAAAGTCTGAACTTTGAAAACTTCAAGAATTTGTGTTAAATATTAAAATAATAAAATTGTAACTCAGTAATGATAAATAGGTGGGTAATTTAGCTAGCTTTAATATAAAATATTAATAAGAGAGATTTGATATCACACCCAGGCGGTATACCCAATTTGAATCCATAAAAACATTCGCGTGAACAGTCCCAAAATTTCTATTTTTTAACTTTTCTCCTAAACTATGATACCTAGCTAGAAAGTTGGTTGATAACTCATTAAAAAGGGATTATCAGGTAGGTAGAAACTAAACGTGGAATTAAATTTTTTTTTTAAATTATTTAATTTTTCACAGATAAAAAAGAAAAAAAGAGTTATTTTCTCTAGATTTTCATTTAGCGAGGTAGATCTCCGAAACTGGAGAACGGATTTTGTTCTTTGGGGTCTTGTTAAATTCACATTTGCTTAGAGAATTGCAGTGGAGATTTTCAGAACTATATCTCCAATCGTTAATTCATTACAAAGCTGTAGAGATGAAAAACATCAAAAAACACCCAATAAAATCTGTTTTATTTTTTTTATGTTCTGTAGTGAATTAACTATTAAAGATAAAGTTCTGCAAATCTTCACTGCACTTTTTCTAACCAATGTGAATCTAACAAGACCAAAAACAACGAAATCCGCTCTCCGGTTTCGGAGATCTATCTCACTAAATGAAAATGAAAATGATTTTTTGTGGGGCTGTTCACGCAAACATTTTTCTGGATTCATATTGTTATACCGTGTAATTAAATCAGTTAACAAATTTCTATAAATTCAAAATCAAGAAAGTTTACATGCCGATCCCTGACTTGGCAATTTTGTTTTTTAGACCGTAGTGCACACACGTTCAAATCGTAGTGCACATTGTGTGTCGTGGTGCACATAAAAATAGGGCCTGGCTGTTCACTCTATTCCGATCTTAAAATTTGAAATGCTTATTAGTTATAATTAATGAACTAGGTACTTTTTCGAAAATTGAACTTTATAGATTGATATACAACATTTTTGTTTTAAAATTACATCAAATTATGTAAAAAAATATTTTAAAAAGTTGAAATTTTTCGAAATATTGAATGCAAGCATTTGAATGGATCGCCTTGTATATTAGTTAAAATCAATAATTGATAATTTTTGAAAACTTTTGAAAAACACCAAAAAATACCGAAATGAAATTTTGTAAAATAAAATAGGTAGGTATATTTTATTGACTGTGTGGAACGATAAATGTACCTATTGATTTAACAATGTTCTGACGTCACCATTAAGCAGCAATTAAGTTTCAACCATGGAATACCCGTACTAATGCGATAGGTATCTTAAGATATAGACTTATTCGTCCATATTTTAAATGAGGATGGTTCTTGATAGGCTATTGCAAATTGAATCCAGTTGGTAAGTTGGGTGCAGGTTAAAAGTAAAAAATCCCAAGTATATTATATAGTTATCAAAATAATGCTAGAAGACACAAAAAACAAAAAAAGACACTCCGATCAATGGAATGCATGCTATCGAATATGAAATTTAAAGTAGGTATTTTTGAACTGTGAAACCAGCAAATGCAGATACCTTCCAAGGCTCTGTACTCTCGGCAGTACTCTTTAATATATATTTATCATATAATAAATACAAATGCAAGTAAATGTATGTATGCAGACGACATAGCACTGGTTCCCCAAGCCAACACTTTAGAATTTAGATACAGTGGAAACCAAACTAAATCTAGATCTTAATAACCTACTAGTAACTATCTCAAAAAAATTTACCTAACCCTGAACCTGAATAAAACGGTGGCACTGGCTCTTTACTTTTACAACATAGAAGCAGACAGAAAGCTATAAATACAAATTAACGGCACTGCAGCGCCATTACCATACCAAATAAAGAATGTCCTAGATATCTCGTACTCTCAGAGTAAAATTGATAGAGCTTGACATTTAAAAACAATTATCCGAATTATAACAGACACAGAAAGAACGACCCAAGTACAATGGTTAACAGTGCTCGCCTTCTCGCAATTATAGTTCTGGGCTCCGGCCTCCGGTGGATTTACGTAGACTGATAAATTCATAACACAATGCCATAGTTGACAAGATAAAAAGAAACCCTAATCTACCTTTGTACCAATATATTGTTTCACACCCCCATAAAAGACTTAAATCGAGACACCCAATATGAGACCTAACATTTCCGGTAGAAGCTTAATCGGAAACATGGAAAACGCGATGGAAGGACTCGGGAGCGCGAGGAGTTACCTTGATCAAAAATCCAGAAACAAGAACCCTAGGATTTGATCTACTATACCTAACTGCTAGTCTATAAGGATAGTTATGGTTGACCTTGAATAGGGTTAGGTTAACTGAGCAAGGCAGATGTAAAAGTTTACCATATAAATGTGGAAGGGAACAATCCCGTCTTTACTCTTAAGGAACCGAACAAACAATCAAGCATTTTAGGAAAGAATGTCCAATTACCAAATTTGAAGGAGGAATTGTAAAACCACTCGAAGCTAAAATTGAGGAAATCTGTTAGTTAAATAGCCTACTAACACCACTTCAGTAAGAGTTACAGTTCCTGATTCGTGTTACTTTTAAAATTAGAAGAGTTTGCCATATTTCAATGATGTATTAATGTATTTAATTAGGTATATAATTTAAGCCGATATGTCATATGCAAAATAAAATAAATAAATACCTCAGTGGCGTACCTCAGGAGGGGTAATAGGAGCATTGATTCCCCCACTGGTAATATATTTTATCATAATTCATAATTAATTTTGCTTTGCTTTCGGATTTTTAATGGTTTTAAGGTGAGGTAGGTATAGATATTTAATAATTTGCCCCATTTCTCCAGAAAATGTTTTACAGGTACGCCACGACCTACCTAGTGCTTGGTTTTATTCGTATATCCTAAATCATAAAGATACAGAATAAATAATTTTAAAGATTTATATTATTCGGTGAACGGAAAAAAAGTCCCCGGTAAAATCGTCCCCGGAAAAAAGGTACCCGTAAATAAAATCAAATAAAAAAAAAAATTGTACTTTCATCAATTGTTAAATTTTATTTTTATTGAAAAATTATTCAAGTAATTATTTGTAATTTATAATATATAATGATATCAGTACCTATAACAAATAAATATTATAACATGTAAAACTTAATTAGTAAATTGAGTGTTAATGCATTTTTTCCCGGTACATTTTTTTCCGGGGACTTTTTTACCAGGGACTTTTTTTCCGGCATTCGAATAATAGAATACCATTGATTAAATATACATTGATTATATATGTATATTTAATCAATGAGAATACTCATGGTTATATTGTGTGCTATTAAAGATGTCATGTATCCTGTATCTATAAAAAAAATATACATTATCTTTCAATTCAAAAACGAGATTTTCTTTAATTATGTCCCTGGTACAATCATTATTCTATTTTGAATTTCTGTGGTACAGACCACAGACGTAAAGTGTGGTCAAAGAATGTGTGGTATTCGTGTTCAGAGATAAGCACAACTTTTAATCGATCTGAGTCGTTGATACCGCTAAATCGATCTGCGTTTTTTAGTGATAAGCTCAACCATTATCAGTTCTTACATATCATATTATAGTGGTAGTGGAAAAAAACGGTAAGCATTAAGCACTAAGCAATCCAAAGTTCAAGGATCTAGTTTTAATTTTGAAGTGTTTTAACACAATAATATCAAATATGCGCCATTTGTTTATTTTTAATATTTAGATCTGTATCCGTGAATCTTCATTTTTTTATTTTTTACGTACAAACAAATAAAAATGTATTTAATATTTTTGAAACAGTCCTATGTTTAGTCACAAGCCCTACGTATCAGTAATCCCATCTCATTAAAATCACTTTTAATTACAATAATAATATTATTAATTGCATTGATTCGCTAACAACAAACTGGTTAAAATCCTACTAGACTATTTGTAAATCAGGTATGAAATAGTTTTCAAAATTACTAGTTACGAGTGTTTCCTAATTGGTTTTTTTTATATAATTTATTAAACTACTGATAGCTAAGTTACAGAATTTTTAATAATTGATTTAAGTTTACACAATGGTGTTTGATAACTTATATCTCAATAAGGACCATCTTGATGGGTTTGACAATTACAAAGTAAGTGCTTATTGAGTCAATAATATTGACGCATTTTTAATTAGTATACTTGCATAGTGCATACTAAAGTCATGCTCATTTAGTTATTTAGTAATTAGTAGTATTAGTCTTATCATATTCAATAATTAAATATTGTTTTCATAGGGTATGATAAATCTTAGTTTAATAATAATTATTATTCATAATATGAATCTTATAAGCAATAGCAATAAAAATAAAACATTTGTTGATTAAAATATGATTTTTTAAACACTTAAATTTCTCGGCTTAGTAATGAATATTTTTTTTATAAATTTGTTATATACTACAGTAACAGAATATAGTTCATGATTACAATAGGTACCTATTTTAATTAAAGGACATTTATTTTGTTGCAGAAGCTATATTTTAATATATTTAACATGACTTTACTATGGATTAATCCTTTATTTAATGCTAATCTCATTTAATATATATATTATGCATTATGTTTTGTACTAACCTTGGCCTAAATATTGTTCTTTCATTTTAGGAAATTATTGCCTACATTAATAATTATACTATTGTAAACAATGTAGGTATTGTAAAGCCAAAAAATAATTTTTTTATTTTATGAATCCTCCTAAATTTATATTGAATAATATGTTCTTAAATAATTGTATTAATTTTAACTACTTTATTTATGGATACTTTAAATTAGATATCAAATTTTATTTAATAATAATATTTTAAACTTGAAGTATGTGTTCGGTAGTTTTGATAAATTAATTAGTATAGTAGAAGTTTGTCATTCAGGCAAAACTATTAAGATACAAAAATTATTTTTTAAAGCTGTAAAGGAGTAAAAAAAAAATTCTGATTAAAAAATAATATATTGTCTCATTGACAGCTCTTCCTTGTTTACAAAATAAAATAATTATTAATTAATTAATTATTCTTTAATACAAAACATTGTAATTGGGCTCTTCCCATATTTAATATAAATATTTTTAGTGAATAACAAAGTAGGTACCTATTTTAGCTTTTGTTCGATTATGTGTTATATAATATACAAGGTGATTGATTAAGCGTAAAACACTCATTATCTCAAAAAGTACTAATGTTTTTGAAAATATTTTTTTACATAGTTTCAAGTTGTTAAAAAAACAACGTTTTCATTAAAAAACTATATTTTTAAATATTTGTTATCCTTATATTTTTTTAAGTTTTTTACTTTTTTGAATGACAGCATAGAGTTTTAATTTCATATTCCAAAGCAGAATATTTTTCTAAGTATTTTGATACATAAAAATCGAACTTAGGACGAGTAATTTTTGAGTTATAAGTATTTAAAGTTTAGATGGGCGGAGTAGTGGATAAACATTTTGCGGGGTAACCCCATACCACTCCACTCCGCCCAACTAAACTTAAAATACTTATAACTCATAAACTACTCGTCCTAAGTTCGATTTTTATGTATCAAAATACTTAGAAAAATATTCTGCTTTGGAATATGAAATTAAAACTCTATGCTGTCATTCAAAAACTTAAAAAACTTAAAAAAATATAAGGATAAAAAATATTTAAAAATATAGTTTTTTAATGAAAACGTTGTTTTTTTAACACCTTGAAACTATGTAAAAAAATATTTTCAAAAACATTAATACTTTTTGAGATAATGAGTGTTTTACGCTTAATGAATCACTTTGTATAACAGTTTTTTATATTTTTGACAGTTGTATTTATATTTATTTAAATTGACTAACAAAATAAATTATTTTTCAGTATAATGCAATTGATACCAATCCATTGGGTACATACATTATGCATCCATTTTGGAATGCATTAATTAAAGTAAGTGTTATAATTATTATCAAATTAATGTTTTATACAATATTTGTACTGTTATAAGTAGGTACTTATTAAAACAAGTTTGTGTACATTTCAAAAATGTAAAATGTTTTCCTTACAATTTTTTTTTTTATTTTAGGTTACTCCACGATGGATTGCACCTAACTTGCTAACTTTTGTTGGTTTTCTTTTTACTGTTGGAGCTTCACTTCTCCTTGCTTATTATGACTATGGTTTCTATGTGTCTGGAATGTATTACAAAGGGGATCCTATCCCAAGATGGGTGTTTGGTGTTGTGTCTTTATTTATTTTCATATCATATTCACTTGGTATTTATATTTTATCTTTATAAATACTATAATCAAAACTATAATAATTAATTTAAAAAAAAATTTTAGATGGGCTTGATGGTAAACAGGCAAGACGTACTGGCACAAGTGGCCCACTAGGTGAGCTGTTTGACCACGGTCTGGATTCCTGGACAACTGTTTTTATCCCAACTGCACTTTATTCAATATTTGGGCGTGATGATCCGAATACTATTCAACCAATACGGATGTATTATATCTGTATAATGGTTTTCATTAATTTTTATCTGGCTCATTGGGAAAAGTATAATACTGGAGTATTATATTTGCCATGGAGTTATGACTTTTCAATGGTTGTAAGTTTAAATTTGAATTACATTTTGTGTACCTTATTATAATTTAAATATTACTTTTATGACTTCAAATTATGTTATATCAATAATGAGTAAACAATTTTATTTTTTACTATAAAACATACCGAATGTCTAATCTCAAAATTTTGATATTCCAGACAGTTTTATTTCATTTTAGATTTTGATAAGACATAGTGGTTTTTTTTGTCTGACATCACCTTTTGGGATGGTAAAAATGCTTTGATTGTCAACTTTGAAGGTGGTTTCTGGTAGCAAATTGGATCTAGTTGAAATGTTGAATAATGAATAATGACATCTCATCAAACTATTATTGTCTTATACATTGTAATTCAAAAATGAATAACCTTAAATACTTGGAATTTTCAAAAAATGTTTATATTAGCATTTTATGTACACGATAAATTAATTTCAAAATATTTTGATATTATATTATTATCATTATGAATTGAAATTTTCTAGACATTTTTCTAGAATACAAGGTTTTTAATAAGTTTTTATTATAGCCATTTAAAAATATTAAAGATTCATAAGCACAATTTATTTTTATAAGCATTTAAAGTTCAAATTTTTTAGAAATTAAATATTTAAACAAAATAAAGATATTAGTTATTTTGTTGTAATTTAAAAATATTATTTGAGGGGACTTCAAACTTTTATATATAACTTTGTTTTGTACATTATTTTGTTTTATACATACAATGACATTTTAAATGCAAAGTTTATGGCAAAAATTAATTCAATGTACTAAATCTCATATTACTTATAATTTATAGTAAAATAAATTAATTTAATAGCAATTTAAATGTATCATAATATACACTACAGTAAAACTACACTTTCCTGCATAAGATGCTGTTTTCCTCCGGTCTCTAGACACTATACTAGTTACAGCCGGCAGAAAACATCTTTTGAACTGGTCTTTTGAAGAGCGCCTTAAGCAAGCTTTACTGTTGTTGTATAGGTCGTCTTTACCCAAAATTGTTTTGTGTAGGAAATGATTTATCGTTGAATTAAAATGTAATACATATATTATAGTGACTTACTTAATGATGAGGTATACACTACACTCAACACTTCCTGTATAGCAGAGCACTTTCCCCACTGTTTAAATCATAAATGTATTATTGTTTTTAGGGATTAGTATTCTTCTTTGGTCTTACTGCTATTTTTGGTCCCGAAAAATGGAAAATGTCGTTGACAGATAATTATTCCTTTGGACATGTCACAGAAATAACATTTTACTTTACAACATTCATTACAAACATTCCAGTTTCAATTTATAATATTTACGTGTAAGTAGTAAAAATGTATTTTCTATGAGTGTGTTGATATTTGTAAATTTAAATATTTTTTTTTTTACTTTTACAGAAGTCACAGGGACAAAACAGGCAAAAATTTAAGTATTCTAGAAGGTAGTCGACCATTAGTTCCTTTAACTGTCTTTGTGTCTTTATGCTTAATATGGGTAAAAATGTCGCCTACAAATATTCTTGAAAGGGATCCAAGAATATTTTTCATGATGAGTGGAGCAATATTTTCAAACATTTGTGTAAGTAAAACATAGGCCGCTTTAAATTAGTAATTTATTATGCTATGTATTAAGCTAATTATGCTTTACAGTTTTATTTGTCAGTGAACTATGTTTGGTGTAGTTCAGACTATTTTGCTTGTATAAACACTATACGTTTTTTATCATTGTTTGAGCCATGGCTAAATACACTGGTATTTTCTCATCTTGGTTCTGTGCATGTCACACGGTCTGCTTGTTAGTATTTTCCACCGCAAAACACTGACATGCTTACATCATTATTTAACATGGAAATAATAATAACTTACCTGTGCCAGTTACGCAATATTTTGTTCAAGTTGAGATCATACCAGTATATTTAGCCATGGTTTGACTTATGTTTTACCTATTTCAAATACTGAAAATGGGGCAAAAATTAAACTACTTAGTTTTTGTTTCATTTTGGTATATGTGGCCGTCTAAACTGGGGTACAGTATATCCAGTATCTATGTACATTTTTTAATCTACACCAAACACTGTTCACTGATGAATACAATAATTGTAGTATCTTACCAGTTTTATACTTAGTTGATTGTACATTACTGTTTTATTGATAATTATTTATACTTTATATTACAGTGTCGTTTAATTGTGGCTCAAATGAGCAAGACCCGCTGTGAAGCACATAACAATTTGTTGTCGTTTATGGTTGTAGCTATATTTTTTAGTGTGTTTTTACCTCCAGTTGAGTTACTTTGTATGTACATGATGGCATTAATAAGCATTGTGACACACATATACTATGGAGGCTGTGTAGTAAGTATTTTTAAATTATTTTTATAAATAATTTATCTGAAATTATTACTGTATAAATCATAATATTTATGTAGGGTCATAATTTTTTTTAACTTATGTTACATATTTTAGGTGAAACAAATGGCTGATCATTTTAAAATCATGTGTTTCAAAATACCATACAAGAAACATTAAATATAATATATTATTAAAATAATACTTATTTTATTTTATATTATTTTTATCAATTACTTAAATCAACATTAGCATTTGTGAAACAGTTGTTACTAAAATATGTTAATTGTTTTTAAAATCTCATTACAGAGTAGCCATACAGATGAAGTACTATTATTATTTATATTTTTAGAATTGTTTATAAATGTTTTGTATACAAGTTATTATCATTATTAACCCATGCTAAAAATTGGTACATTTTATCTCATTAATTATGCTAATTAAATTATTTTTTATTTCTTATTCATTGAAAAAAATATTTTTTCCATTAAACTAAAGTTTATACAATACTTTAAAGAGTATAAACTAATTTACCTTTAAATGCAATTAATTCGGGAGTAATGAACAATATTAGTGCTGCTCAATAAGATATTGGCAGCTATTTAATTATTTATTGTTATATTATTTTACTACAAACGTTTAATATTAAATATCCTTAATTGGTACTTATTTTTTTAAAATGGTTTGTATTATATAATTAGGTATAGTATATAATAATAATTGAAAATTAATTTAAGATTATTAAGGTATCCATAAAATGTCCATAGTATAGTTATTATTATAATATAACTATACCTGTTAGAACAATTTGTTATTTTGTAATAATTGATTGAATTATTTGACTTTATTATACAATAGATATTAGATGATAAGTTAATGAATATCATGAATGACTTGACAGTCTGAGTTTGTATTTATATATATTTTTTTTTTTAAACTTTTGTGTGATAAAAAGATCAATTATATAGTAAATATACGGTTGCATATATTATTACAACATTGAATATATTATATACATAGGGTTAAACATTTTTTTTTATGTAGTACTCTGTACCTAAACTCAAAATTATTTCAAGTGGTATAACATAATATATGAGATTAATTACCGCCATAAATTACCTGAAAATTCACCATTCAAAAATAATCACAAAAAGATATAGTATAAGGAAATAATCATTTTCAATCAATTATAAAATGTAGATGTCATGAAATTATACATAAAATTTGTTATTTCTTATTAAAAAGCCACAGTTCGCTCATTAAATAGACAATAATCAGTTACAGCTTTACGCTTAGAGACACTTGCATTTTCAACTTCAATATCCTTATTACTTAATGTTAGAAAGGAAATCTAGTCGGTTCTTTGAGGGGGGGGGGGGTCAAACATAAAAAATAAAAATGCCCAGTACTTTTCTTAATAATTGGGAAAAATAGGAAAGTAGGTAACTGTTATGCTGTACAGTTGGTATCGTCGAGTATACCTTGACATTTAATAAGGCCACTATAATAGTTTAATGTATGTGTTAATTTGGATTCATTGTATATGAAAAACGATTCTGTGTGAAAACAAAATATCAATTTATATCAAAATTTGAACTTAAAATGCTTTAACCAAAAAAAAACAGCCTATGTAATTTTTAATATTTTTAAACTGCTATTATATATATTATATAGTATTCAGTATTTTGTAGCTCCTTGCATTGTATTAATTTACAAACTTGTTAATATTTATATTCCAACATTTGAATATACATATTACATACATATTTATATTTTATATACAAACATAATCTATATGATAATAATAATAATGGATGACGGATATCCCACATGTTAAATACATTTTCTGGTAAACTTCAACGATAGGTAATGAAAATGTGCATAAATAATTGCAGTGGTCATATTATTATTTATAATTAAAAATCAAATAGAATATAATAATGACGGGTTGCATGAAAAATTAATTAAACTAACGTACGTCGTCTTGAAATTATAAAAAAAAAATTTTATAAATTAGACATTATTTATACGTTTTTGACTACAATTTTTCATTAATAATTAATTTATAACCTAAATCATCATAATTTTAATATTATGTACTAACCTAACATAATATTAATTTAAATGTTGATTACTATTTATTGAAGTATTTACTATGAATTATGATATATCTTTAGGTATACATCCATAGTTCTGGGGGTATTCATTTTATTTTGCCGGGACTCCCCTATTAATAGGACTATAATTGACTATTAGTGCTCGAACTGTAATGACAACAGACAAGACGTATTGTAGCCCATGACAAAATAAAAATCTATTTTGTCATGTTGTAGCCATAAACCTTATGTTGGTATAAGCACAGATTATATGAAAATAATCTGTGGTATAAGGGCTATGATTGTCAAGGTTTTTAGATTATAATCCAGTAAGAACTTCGTAAGAACTGAAACACTCCCTGTAAAAACAGTCTACATTGCCACATTGGTATTTGTTAATTGTTACTAATAAGAATTTTAGTGGTTTTGAGGATATTTGTGGTTAAAAGTTGAAATAAAAAATAAAAATAACTATAACTGTTGTATATAGTATAGACTTAGGACCATTTCATTTTGCGCCTTGCGTAGTAAGTATATAGTAACTATATTATTCTATACAGTAAGTTGCGTCGAGTAAACGTGGCAGGTAAAATGTATTTTTATTCGTGATAGTCGTGAATGACATTTCTCGTTTCTAACATCTAACCAATAGTTATTAGTATATCTTTAATCGTGGTTAATGGATGTTTAAAAGTTTCATATTGTTCTGTGATAACTGCTATTATCTATTTTCTAGTTCCTATCTTTTTAAGCTTTCTTAAAATCAAGATCATAGAAAAGAGATTTAGAGATCATTGGTTAGATAATAGATGATCTGCAGTAGATGATTGTACATTTATACTATTATAGTGTTCGAGATAGCAAATGCCGAATTTCAATAAATAATTTTCGTTGGATATTTTTGATTCAACCGGTAAATTTGAAGCTGATTTAATAATTACCTCATACCGTGCGGCTACTCAACACGATGGCCAGCACCACTGTAAAGTTTTCGGCTTCTTTAAGTAAAACCGATCCGATTAGTGTACCAGTACTGATCGTAGGTCAAGAAAAACACTTGTCTAGTTTATCTTACTCTGCAGTCAAGTGTAAGTTAGAACCGCGGGTTAACGAACAGGTGAGAATATAGTTTGATAAATGTTTAAAAAATATATTTTGTACTAAAGTAAGATATTTCTACTTTTTAGACTTTCAAATCTGCTTTGTCTGTATTGAATCCTTGTCCGACAGACACTTGTCCACTTTTTCTCAACACTGCCACTTTAGCGGCCATTTCCAACACTCATAGTCGTCATAATTCATCGGCACAACCCCATATGCTTACAAAGCTGATCAATTTGAATTCAGCTGGATACAATGAATGCATTGTGGTTAGTGAACAATAATACAAATTCTATTTGCTTTATCCAAAATTATCTATTTACAAGTACCTAATGTTTAAAACGATTGTTAGATTGTTTGCGAGCGAAAAGATATGTTTGCCTCAGGTTGTGCTGCAGCTCGGGCATTCTACGACTATTGTCGCAAGACTAAAATATATGTTGGTAAACTAAAAGAACAGAAGAAAGCTACTGTAACGGTTACAGTAGAGTTTATAATAATTCCTGACAGCAATGGTGATCATAAGGTGGAGAAAGAAGAAATAGCAACTTTGGAAAGAATAGCTAATGCCATTAAAATGACAGCACGTATTGTTGATACTCCATGTAATGACATGAATGTCAATCATTTCTTAGATGCAAGTCAAACATAATGTCTGAATACATTGGATATTTTTAATTTTGGATAAAACTTTTAGGAGATAAGACATGTAGGGTCTGACTTGAATATTAATCCTACAATAATAAGCGGTGAAGAGTTGAAGAAAAAAGGTCTTGGAGGAATTTATGGTGTCGGTAGAGCATCTTCTATAGGTCCAGCTCTCGCTGTATTATCTTACACCCCACCAGGAGCCACAGAAACAATTGCTTGGGTTGGCAAAGGTATTGTCTATGATACTGGTGGTCTTAGCATCAAAGGAAAGGTAAATATATTTTTAATGCATGTAAATGAACATTGTAATTAGTTCATTAAATATTTTCAGTCAGCTATGCCAGGCATGAAACGAGATTGTGCTGGAGCAGCCGCTATTTTAGGAGCGTTCCAAGCTATAGTGAAGTCTAGTTTTAAGCAAAACCTACACGCTGTTTTTTGTTTGGCTGAGAATTCTATTGGACCAGATTCAACACGTCCAGATGATATACATACCCTTTATTCGGGAAGGTTAGCTTTGCATTGGTATCTCATTTATGCGATAACAATGGTAATTAATTATTTTCAACAATAAACAATTTAATTTTAGAACTGTCGAAATCAATAATACTGATGCTGAAGGACGTCTAGTTTTATCAGATGGAGTAGTGTATGCATCTCGAGATCTTAATGCTAAAGTGATATTAGACATGGCTACATTAACTGGTGCACAGGTATATTTAAACATGATTTTCAATTGAGTATTGAATTATTAATTATTTTTGTTTTAGGCAATTAGCACGGGAAAGTATCATGCTGCAGTAATGTCAAACTCAGAACAATGGGAAAAAAATGTAGTGTCCGCTGGTCTAATGTCGGGAGATTTAACATTTCCAATTGTCTACTGTCCAGAACTTCATTTCTGTGAATTTTCATCATCTGTGGCTGACATGAAAAACTCTGTTGCTGTAAGATTACATTTATTTTTTATTGATTAAATACTAAATTGATATTTCGTTATTTTTTAGGATCGATCCAACGCTACTTCGTCATGTGCGGGACTGTTTATAGCTGCTCATCTTGGCTTTGATACGACTAATCAATGGATTCATGTGGACATTGCAGGGCCTTCTCATTACGTAAATATCATTACACTAAACTCCGCTTATTAAAATCACAGTTAATTCACTCATTCACCTATTTTTTAACTAACCTACAGATTGATCCTAATTCACTTATCCCTATTTCTACCTTGAAATTGTATACTGTAATAATCAGATGATTGGAATTGTATTGTTTGCTTAACTTTGCTTAACCATTTTTGTTACACCAATATTAGATAATAAATACTCTAAAATATACAGTTCTACTTTCATCAGAAAAAACTGAATGAATTGAAAACACATAATAATACCAAATTTGCTATTTTAAATTATTTGATTTTAACTTGTTTGCTTGTGGACGTCTGAGATGACTCAGATTTTATTTTTTTATGTATACAATTTTTGTTATAGGGTGAACGAGCAACTGGTTACGGAGTTGCTCTTTTGACGGCACTTTTTGCTAAGTATACAAACGATCTTCTATTGAAAAATGTTTCCAAACATATTGAATAGTCTTAAGTCATATTACAAACGTCTACTTCAAGAAAATGCATGTTTAATTAAACAATTTATGTCAATCCAACTTTATATTAATCCGATTTTAAAACTTGATATTTTTGTCATCTTTCTGTATTTTTTTATAAACGTGCCATAACTTTTTAACAAATGTTTTCTTTAAATTAATAAAATAAAAAGTAAAATCTGTTCAACGTTTATTTTTGTTTATTTTAATAAAACTGAAACTGTATAAAATATTTAAATGGTAGTATATAATATATTAACTATGATAATAATTCATGTATAACAATAATAAAATTATTGATAGATTTAAAATATCACATTAAGACCATTGTTGAAATATTTTAATATATATTTCAACCATGATTAAGACGGTATTAAAAACCAATGTGTCACAAGAAGGAACAGATAAAGTAATCATATAATTTAAATATTACATTTTATATCATATTTTATTATAAATTATCCTTTACGCTGGTCGTCTCTAAAGACGAAAAATAAAAAAATACTCAATAAATAATGGAATTCATTTAAATTTTCAAGCCAAATACCATGTTTAAAAATTGTTCATAATGAATAGTAATATATCCATCTTGATCTGTATCAAATTGACGGAATGCAGCAGTTAAGGTCTGTGAATACAAATTTGAGTTATTAAAAATTAATAATTAATAGTTACAATGATTATGATAAAAATACACTGTAATAGTTAAATGGATAGTAAGTAATGTTTGTAAAAAGTTATAATACATACATGTAACACAACACAGCATTGTATAAAATCATCAAAAAGTATAGTGCCACGACCAAAGCGGTCAAATCTCTTGAGCATAACTGATACAATTTGTTCACCGAGTCTATAACCGAACGACGATAGAGCATCTTTGAGTTCGGATACATTTATATTGCCGGAGCCATCACGGTCAAATGATCGAAAACATGATTGCCAATCAGTTACATACTTCCATAAGGCACCAAAGTCGTCAAAAGATACAGTTCCTCGATTATGCTTGTCAAACATGCCTATCATAAGACGTACGGTTTCCGGATTGAATGGAGTCCATGTTCCATTGGAAAGTGCCATTTGCAGTTCATCAGACGAGATGAATCCACTTCTATCTTTGTCAACCCTACATCACAATGACGTTATGACCCGACAGAAATATTATCAATATCATTATTTTCACTTACCTCTGAAACACGTCCCACAAGAACTCTCTGGACGGCATCGGTGACGAAAAATTCGCCATTTTCGACTGAAAAAAAGACTTGGCATTAATACAATATCTCAAATACCTAGATCAGGTGAAACTTTTAGCTTATATGATATTATGTTTTCATAATTCATGACTCACCAATAACGCCTTAAATCCTAAAGTATTGATGACTCAATAGTCAATATTGTAAACTGTAAGTTGAGTGTTGAGTGTTGACTGTAGTCGATACAATAATAACAATAATATAATATGTTACTGATCTAAAATTCTGAACGATAAGAGTATAATAATATCATACGACTATAATACAAGCACGGCAATCAAGTCATAATATTATTATGACGGTTGACCATAAATATTTTATATTATTTAGGACGTGTATTATAATATTGTACGGTTGACCGATATCGTAATTCGTGACGAATTGATAACGATAACGTGTTGCTGCAGCCTGCAGCGACTAGCGAGCAGTACCACCTGTCACCGCTTACACAGAACAATAATTATATCTGGCGGCTGGAAGTACTGCAGTAAGTTCAAAGTTGATACTTGAGTACTTGCTACTTGCTAGAGCCTAGCGCATACCGCAGTTACGCCTAGCATTGTTGTATTCTGTGCTGGGCGTTGCTGCAGACGTACAGTAATTCTTATTTATTTATTTATTTTACTATGACCCATGGTGCTTGCTGGTCCGTCAATCGTCATCATTATAACATCCAATTCTATTTTATGGAAGACATTTAATACGTATAGGTTTAAAAAGTTATATGTCGAGTGATATTCCATGATGAAATTATTTTTACCAAGTACTGAAGTACCATAACGGACCAGGGGCTATGATCGTAGTACAACTACAATAACTGTGTACTATGACGAAAAATAATTATATACACCATCGTTCTCGTTATTCGTTGAAAACGTATGTTTCTTAAATAAAATTCCAAAAATGTGCTGGGTACCTAAAGTGAATTTGTTCCCTGGTAACTACATAGTAGATTATATATTTTGTATGCACATGTATAAATGCGCAATCGTACAATAAAATATAAAGAGATTCAAGAATCATGATTCAAAATAATGCATATATTTTCCAAAAACGCGAATAACATGATTAATTTCTTCATTACGCGGGTTAAAGTAACAACCAACCCAATCGTGAGGGCGGCGACCGTACGAGCACAGAACATTGGTACGAGTTTGGTTCACTGAACTCTATAATAATTATAGAGTTTAGTGGTTTGGTCTCCACTCTCCACAAGTTTGTCTTCATGATATAAACCCGGTTAGTAACTGCGGCTTCAGTAATGCAACGCTGCAATTCTTGATAGAAATACAGTATGCTACGTGAAATCGGGAAAAATTGCTTTATTTCAGAACACCTTCATTTATTCGTATCAGACACGGACTAAGATATACAGGACTGGACACGAGATGAATATTGTGGTTACGAAATGTTTTACAACAGGCGGAGTTCGGGGGGATATTTTCCTTTTAGCATTACTAGCGCCGTCTTAGTGGATACTTATGGAACTAGAAATTTGTATGATGTGTTCTAGTATATCTTAGTATATCTTTAGTCCGTGATATAAACGTTATAAACGTTATCAGTTAAATTTATGTGATATATAGGCCTTATCAGTGATTTTAAGCGCATATCCATCAGACAATCGGGTTTCAGTTATTATTGAAATTGCGATATTCCGATGCATCAGCGCATTCGATGCGCTGAATTTCAGAACGCTATAGCCACAGAACAATAGCTTGAAAATACGATGTATTTTAGAACATGTTTTATCATTTCGTATCCACAGCGTTGCATTAGCGAAGGCGCAATTATATTGTGATAGAATTACAATGATAGTGTTATCAGTTATTGTCACATAATATAGAACATGACAAAAACAAATGATATAACTATTAAAATAATGTGAAATTTGAATAATAATGCATTAAAATTTAAAATAATAATTTTGTAAAGTATTGTTAGGAAGACGTGAAATCTACCGTTTTATTACTTTTTACGTTGTATTGTTATCCGTCATGATCACAGACAATGAATGACAAATATAGTTGGTCAGTTTTAGGATATATTTTGGTGTCAAGCCTTTGTTGTCATGCTGCAATGAATGCAAATATGTCAAGAAACGATGGCGGAGGATTTAAAAACGATTCGTTGTTGGAAAATGACCCAGAACTGAACTACGTTCCTTCTGGGCCGTTGGTCATGTGCTCTTTCTTGTAAATAATTTTGTGTATACTTATTAATATAGTAGTCACTCGATAATTCGAAATTCAGTGGACCGATTTAAAAGTTCGATTTAAGAGGTTTTTGATTTACCAAGTGTTCAAATATTCGAGGGAAAACAAATTAATTCGAATTAAAGAGAGGTGAACAATATTATGTATATATTACATATTAAAGTTTAGATTAGGTAGGTAAGGTACGATAATATTTAACCACTGTCGTTATTAGTTTCATTACGTACATAATCTGTACATGTATATACAAATGAACTTACATATACCTGATCGCGTTTAATGAAATTTGAATTATAGGTTTGTGGAAAAAAATTTGAATTGTCAACAGACATTTACAATTATCAAGGGGACCGGAATACATGTATTTTCTTTCAATTATAGAGGTTTTCTCAGGGGAACAGCGTTTAGTTCGATTTATTGAGTTTTTCTAATTATCGAGTGACTACTGTTTTGTATTATAGCTAACAACATGTCAAATAGACAAATAATAATATTTACAGTAATTTTTAATATTAATAATATTATCTAGGCCGATGGAATTCATTGAATGTGAAGACCTAGTTGACTTAAAAGGAAACAAGTCAAGAGATGATTCCATGACAGGCGGGTGTTCTAAGGTACAATATTGTAGGGACTATAACAAAATAATAACAATATAAACTAAATTTATGATAAATTGTGATTTTATATTTTAGTATGGAGGTAGTTATAGATATGAAGATGTAGAAAAAACAACAGTTCAATGTATGGTTTTACCGGGTATAGAATGTCACGGTAATAGAAAATTCAACAAGAAAGGATTTCCATGTGTGAAGTATAAATGAATTATATATTTGTAATTGTTTTACTATTAAGAGGCCTATCCACGCAATGTGTTTTCACTGTCTTACAAACCTATGGCATACCAAATTTGTGTTCGTTAAAATTGATTCTGTGTTGTTAGTTTTAATATTATATTATAGTGAATTGACCTATTATAAAAGTTAAAGATAAATACATAATCAGCTGTGACTAGCTATTGGGTTTTTTCGTTGTTTTAATTTCCAAGCAAAAGATAAAAATAGTATGTAAAATATTATAAACTAAAAATGTTCATATCTATACTCCAGCTCATGAGAAAACATTACCGATTCGTGCATGTACTGGTCCGAAGCACAAGTAGATAATTTTCACACCAATATTAAAATAACCAGAGTTCAATGGTCAAAAACTTGAATGTACAATTTGATATGCTGTGCGTTTGAGGGAGACATCATAATATGCTTGTATGTCGTTCTCTTAAGGGGATTGGATACCGTGATTTTCTGTATTTGTCTAACACATGCGCGGCATACAATTTTCTACTAATTTTACTTCAATTAGTCCAATCATTGTATTAAAGTGATAACAATTCTGAAAATTAATTTGAATTCAGCGTGAAATCTACTTGAGATCGGTCGGGCCATTTTTTCAGCTTTATTTAATAATATTTTTTTAACATTACTACAAGATTTAATATTTTTCAAAAACCTTCAATCAAATTTGTGGAATTTTGAGGTCAAAATTCAAAAATGTGATTTCAAGCAGTCTTCACGCTGAATTCAAATACATTTTCAGAATTTTTATTGCATCAATACAAGGATTGGACTGATTGAAGTAAAATTAGCAGAAAATCGTATATCACTCGTGTTAGACAAAGGCAGAAAATCACGGTATCCAATTCCCTTAATAAAAAATGTGTCACACAGTCTTACACCACTATTACTATTATTAATATTACAGATATGGTGGCTATTATTTTCTAACAACTCTGTTGTATTCAATTTTACTGGGATTCCTTGGTATGGACAGATTTTGTCTAGGACAAACTGGAACAGCTGTTGGAAAACTATTGACACTTGGAGGTGGTGGAGTCTGGTGGATACTGGATGTCATATTATTAGTCACTAACCAACTTTTGCCCGAAGATGGCAGTAATTGGAATATTTATGTTTAATTAAAAAACTGTTTATTTTTGTAACTTTTATAGAATAAAACTGCTAATTGTACAAAAAATTCAACAATATTTATTGATTTCAAAAACTTTTACAGTTTGAAGTTTATCTTGATCGGCTTTCATCCATTCATCTCTTTTATGCCTGAACATGCCTAAATTTAATTTGGATGCAATTATAGAACCAAATTGTGTGCTAGTAAGTTCAGATTCATGTTTTAAAAACTCTGCCATTATCATAGTACGCTGTTTTGTATCCGCTACTTTCCATATGCAATCAAAAGCCCGAGAACCACTTTTTGATTTTGCCAGTGTTGTATAATAGTCCTAATAATAAATAATATTTTTAAAAAAATAACTTAATATGAATAACAAATTATTTGATTACTTTTAATTTCCATATCATTTTTTCGCGACTTCTTTCCCCAATAAATGCACTTTCAAAATATGCATTTCCAATATAACTGCCTTTTACATCACAAAGCAAGTAAACAAGACGTTCAGTATCTAAATTGTTCAAATTATTTACCATCTGCAAAATAAATAAACTAAAGTTATTTCCAAGGAGGTACACAATACCTACAATATCTTACTTTGATTGGTTTATTAAACTTTAATATATTTTGTACTATCATGGATCCATGAATATGAATTGATGGTTCTTTACACAAATTATCAAAATTGTCAGCAACTTTTAACCCGAGAAGTAATAAAACTGTGACGCCATCTTCGGTTTCTTCTTGACATTTTAATGACTCACATAATGTCTATTAAAAATTAAATATGTATAAATTAATTAAACTATGAAATTTTATTTATTTACTATTATATTATTTACTTTAAAGAATAAAGCTTGTTTACACTTCAAACGTAAACAAGCATTAGACAATTCTAATAACACTCCAGTATAACCAAGATTGATAATTTGAGGCATTTTTTCCTTTAATTGATCAAAAATTGTTTCAAACTAAAAATAAAAATTATTACAGTTTTAAATTGTGATCCAATTGAAGAAGCTATATTGATTATGCAATGGTTCTTTTGTGGGTAAGTTAATGTGTACAAAGCGAGTAGAGTAGTTAATCCGTCAAATTCTTTCAACTTTATTATTACTTTAGTAGCGTCTGCAGTTGTTGATAATATTTTTTGTATGGTGAAATTTCCATTGTGATGAACTGTTAAATCAGCAAGTTTATCATTGAAATATTTGTCATACAATAAATTGTTCAATTTTTCTGACGATTCAGAAATAATAACATCCAGGAGTCTGAAATGAATAATATATGTAATTACCATTTTATCTTTTCAACTATAACATTATGTTTGAAAATAAATATAATGGTACCTAGAACATGAATTGTTTTCAAAAACCTGAGAAATATTATCAAAAGAGGTACTTTCACTTATTGGAAAACATCCACTCATTATTATTTCAACTAAGGCTTTAAATCTTTTTTTAGATACAGGTGAAATTGATTTAAGTAATACTTGTAAAAGTCCCGAAGTGATATCAGTTGTAGGCATTTCTGGAAAATAATTTGATGAAAACCTTAGTTGTTAAGTTAGTTATAAGTTGTAGTTATTTTTTACCTGAGAACTGCTGAATATTAACTATACAGTCAGCATATTTTTTCAGTAAATTTTTATGTTCTTTATTTGTGTCTATATTTTCGCCTTTTTGTTGTGGAGTCTTTGAACACAAATATGGTTGACCACATAGACAAGCAATGCAACTGCGCACTATATGATTAGCGTATGTATCCCAAATAAATTCCTCCAAATTGTTAAGTATAAATTTGCATAGCTTATTTATAAAATTGAAATAATTTTCTTTCGTAGTTTCTGATACGTCTTCGGTAACCTTTCACAAATAATAATACAAATATTTTAATAACTGGATACTAAATTAATTACTATAAAAAATAAATACCTTATATGCTCTATAAATTGCAACGTGCAATAGTTGCTGGAGCACATGGCTAGCAAACTGGTCACAGCATATAGGCCGCAAATCGCTTTCAAAGTGTTTTATCAAATTTAAAACAGTATGATCACTAGCTGCAGGTAGTAGGTCGTCTACTACACGAGACACTACTTGATTACTACAATAATTCACTTCATTGCCATGCAATTGTTTGAATACATTATCCACAAAAATACCTGAAAATATTTGTATGATATTAAATTTAATGTTTTAACTGTACCTATGTCCTATAGTATTTAATATTTTTTTGGAGCAACTATCATATAGTAGCAAGAAGCTAACAATAGTTACATTTATCGTCATCGCTTTCAAATGTTTCTTTTGATACTTTGAGAATATTAAGGAAATATTGAAAGTCTTCGTCTTGGATTTGAAAACCGTGTCCAAACTTTCCCCGTTTGGAGAATTTCATGGCTCGTTGGTAAGTCGACATGCGTTTTTTTTTACGCTTAAAAGCTCCTCCAGACGATTGTGAATCCATAATTGATGAAATTTAAGACTAATAGTTAAAAATAAAATGTAATTTCAAAATTAAAATATATAAAATAAAAACAAAAGTAAACGGCAAACGCGAGATGTGAATCGGCGGTCAGTCGTCAGTAAAGTTGTAGCTATAGGCAGCACGATTTAAGATCTAAAAAAAAGAATAGTTGCAATTATCGCTATTATAACTTTACGTACACGTGCAGTTCTATCAAATAACTAATAAGTGACAATCATGATAAGAATCCCTGATATACCCAACTGAAGTAAATAATTAGCGGCCCCTTATCCAATATTCTGTATATAATTACCGTTACGAACTTCATGCCACTACGCATCCATGTCAGTAGAGTTGCCTACACGATGATGTCTTCTCTACATAGTACATCGTGGTTGCCTACTTTCAAGTTTGGAGTAAACTGTAAAATCTCGATCGCTGCTTGAGTAGTATTATTGTCTATCCGTGCAATCGTGCACCTTTTTTTAGAGATGTTTGAAAGTTTTGCCCACTACACTGTTAACAGTTAACTATACTCTACATGGGCCGAAATCCGTTAACATTTCGGGGGGGGGGGAGGCTAACATTATTAGCATCAAAGTGAGTGAGAGGGGGGGGGCTTCGATCCCGCTATAGAATTTGTATGAATAATAATTTCGATTTTTTTAAATAGGTAATGACTTAGTAATTATTATACATTTTTTTTTTTAAATAGATTATTTATATGACGATTGACGATAGTCAATTAAACTGAGAAATCATTATTATATATTATTATGTACATGGTTATATATATAAATCGGACTTTTTAGGCTTATGAGTTATGACTTATTTGCTCCGGACTTTTTTTCCTAGGATTTTTTTTTACCATGATTCTTGCCAATAAAAAATATAAACAAACTCTTACGTTTTCATGATTATTTAAATATTTTTCTTTTCTTCGGTATGTCCCTCTTAATATTTTCAGAGTCTTTGGGCATTGGGCGAGGATTTTTATCCATCACTCCTAAAACTTTGTGTGATGGAACACCTATCTTAAAAAATCTGGAAATCCATCGATGATTGACAAGTAAAGACTAATTGCAATTATTTCACATCAATTGAAATTATTAGAATCGTTAGTATTACAGTCGATTAAACCTAGTATTATCTAACACTATCTGATGAGCTACACGGTTTCCGTCCAGGGTGATCCCACAACTATACTCTACATAATAATAGGTAATCATATATTTGTGAATTACGAATCGCGGCATAGGCGCAATTTCAACTTTTGACTTGGGTGGGCGGGGGGGGGGGGCTGAATATATTAAAGGCAAGCAGACAATTGCAATACAGCATGATAAAATTGTATGTCCTAGGTTTTTGGGGTGGCTATGGCTAAGTTTGGGGAGGCTTAACACCCCCAAGCCCCCCCCCCAATTTTCGCATATGAATCGCGGATAAAAAGCCCAGAAATATAAACACAAATACACAATATTATGTATATGTCATGAAATATTATGTTATAAGTTTTAAGTAAAAAATTAAAAAACATAAGTCTTAGACATATATACATAGACTTTTATGAAATAATTTAGTATGCGGCCTATTACCCCATTATGCGTGCACTTTTAAGCATCTAAATTTCAAATGTGGATTGAAAAATCACAAAAATGTGAAAATTATTTTGAGTTTGAAATTCCTAAAAATTTTTTTTTTATTCCAAGATTTTAAAATGTTATACATGATTCCTCATCAGTTTGTTCTGCGAGTCATAAAACCCCAGGTTGCGACCTCATTACATCAGAAGTCGCCTCCCAACTTCCCAGAAAAGCCATCTTATCACTCACGCACATTTACAACTCCCATACTTTCCTCTGCTTTGGAAATAAACATTTGGTCATTAACATCCTAATCCTAATAGTAAGCATTACTAGACTAGATTGACCAGTGTCTAGTATATTATACAATAAATGTACATTTATTCAGGAATTAAATTTTTGTTCATACTTTAAAATTTTAAATTTTTAAGATAGTAAATACATTATTGTTTTACAATATTAGTTTAATCCTCAGTTGGAGTTTAAATCTAAAGGGGCATATTACAATATCCTAACAGTGGTTTAAAGTACATTAAACTTAAGTCAATTCGAACCACCTATTTCAGTGAGTTAACCGGAGATCAATGCTGATTTGTAATATGATTGGCTGCCAATCAGGCCCTTAGTCGTTGATTGGTGAGACAATGACAGCCATATTCTTTGAAAATCAATGTTAAATTGGTTTTTTTACATTTATGTAGGTAATACATTTGAAAAACTTGAAACTTGAATTATATGTTACTCAGGTAACATTTATTCAAAGGATAGGAAAAAGGAAATATATGAAAATGTATTGTAATAAAAATAAAATAAATAAAAAGACAATTATTAATCTATTAAAAAAAAAAAATAATAATAATAGTACAGTGGCTTAAAAACACTTATGATTTTAATGACAACTAAAAGAACTACAAGTCAAATAATATAAATTTTTATTTAATATTTATGGAAATGTTTACACACTAAATATGTTGGATATAATTTTATTTACTAATACGTAATTTATCATTTTAGAATGATTAAAATGAATATAAGCAAATAATCAGTCAACAGAAGAAAAACCCTACTTATTACTCTTTAAGTATTTTATATTGAACATTACAATTTATTAAACAAACACTATTTATTGAACAAAATTATATATTTAAATGGAAAAGAATTTAGTTATAAATTCCAAAATTATAATTGTACATAAATAATAATATATATTACATTATTACTGCGTGTTATATTTTATAATTCAAATTCATTTTAGTATAGATAAATAAAACATGTTGATTTTGTATTTTAAGTAGATATAATTTAAAAAATAATTTAATATGAAAAACAAATGTGCAGCAAGAAATATAATATGCATTTTTGACAATGATGATAATTACATAAACCCAGCATTTAGAGATTTATAAAAAGACATTTTTATGAGTTGAAATATGCATAAACACGACTTTACTAATTCAATGATTTTAACAATTGATTGACTTTTTCTTGGCATTCGTCTTTTTTCCTTTTGAGACCGCTATCCAATTCAACAAACTGATTTCTTCCAACCTTACCCGTTATAAGTTTATCAGTGTATAAGGATTGTGTTTGTCCAAAAAGTTCTTTTAAATTTTTTTCTGCCTTTTGTACCTCATTCAATTTATCTGATAGTTCTGTTGATTCGGTTTTTAACTTTGTAGCTAATTCATTGATGCTAGTCGATTCATTTTTATAATCAGCCTGAATTTGTTTTGATGCTGTATTATATGTACCAATGTCCTTGGAATGTTTCAATTTATTCAAAGCCTCATCCCAAGAGCTATAAATGGAAGCCCTACGTTCAAAATGATGTATAATTGCACTTGTTATTCCAGATATACGTTGGCGCGTTTCACTATGTCCATCCTTGGCTATTGAAAAGTCCAAACGAACCCAAATAATTACAGTCAAAAACAAAATGTAAATAGCAACAATTACAATCAATGGTTCATGGAACATAAAGGCCTTTGGGAATTTGTATTTTAGTTCAAAATCACTAATGTGACTTTCTACAACATTTGACATTTGTAATTTTATAATTGGTCTGCCTATGGTATCTAAGTATGTATAGTGTAAGCCATCTGGTAAACGTACAATTGGATGGGTTGTTTTTAGATCTAAGTCTACTGATCCTTCAGGAAGAATAATGCGTACAGTTACATCTTCGATTATCATATTATCATATAAATGATCAATTAGACGCATCTTCAAAAAATAATCTTCACCGTTGTTGTATAGATATTCGTAAGCTGGTACATTATAACCAATTGTATAATGAGTTTTCCAACCACCAAATAGAGGGAATCTTGGACGAATATCCAACTCAACAGAGTCTAAAAGTGTTCTTTGATTTGATGTAGATATGTTACCAATGACATCTCTATAATAAACACTAGTTGCTGAAGCTGGAAGATACATTTTGAATGATTTTACACTAGATATTCCACTGTTAGTTTCACGTTGGTAATCATAACGAGAAAATGAACCTTTTAATTTAGCACCATGATGAACAAGGTCAATGACATCAGTAACAGCAACATTTCCCCAATGGGATAATTCTATAGATCTTGTTAATTTTGTAGCTTTTAAAAATGGAGTGTTATTATCATAATGTATACTGATTTGAGAATATGCAAATGGTTCTAATGAACCAAAGGGCCCATAAACAACATCTCCAGAGCTCAAAAATGATACTGGATTGATATTGGTGTAATCTTCTACTCGTCTTGTTCCAGTTTGGAATTTAACAGAAGATTTAAGACTTTTGTATGGTGAATACAAATAAGCATTTCCATAAAACATCATCAACTGTCTATCTTTTTGAGTTATTTCTTCAGGATGTGGATACAAAGCATTAATCAAAACATATTCAACCACAAGTGGTGCTCGACCTTTTGATCGCAATGGCCGAGATGCATTAAAATCGATTTGATAAAACTGCTTATCTTCATGGCCAGATAATGTTACTGGTTTAACATTTAAACTCAAGCGATTAGATTCAAATACTTGATGAGCAGAAATATATGAAATGTGACTTTTAATTGAAGGTTCAAATGCATACAAAACAGAGTTTACAGGTTTGTCATCATTATTTTCCAAAGATAGACGACATTCTCCTTTAACTAATTGGGTGCTTAAGTCTACTAAGCATTCAGCATTATTAATAAATATTTTAGGGTTCACTTCAATTGCAAAAGAAGTAGAAATAGTAATTGCCACCAAGAATAAGTGGAGCAAAATCATTTTTTACAAACCTGAGACCAAATGTTCTAGTTGCAAAAATCTTGTTATTGTATTTTATTCGGATTTTAATACCTGAAACATCAAAACAAAGAAGCCATTTGATAAAACTGGTTAATTTTTGTATTTACATATTTTACATTACAATTTAATTTAATTCAATTTTTAGTTTTTTTGTGTTGCTTCATGTTTCTGTGTTTTGTCTTTAATTGTGTATTTGGCAAATGTCTTTAAAGGATCAAATGGTTCCCATCGACTAGCAGGAAAAATATGTTTGTTCCTTTCATACCAATTTCTCAATAACACTTTCCCTGCATGGGAGTCTTCTTTCTCTAAACTAGCATCACTAACCATTCGTATATCATCATGAACACCAAATGTGAACAGTGGACCACTTTTACCTCTTGCTTTAGCAACAATGAAATCATAAAACGAATAATGGTGTGGTAATATCAAATCTTCTTTAACATACATTAATTGGTCAGCCATTATAGTTTTAAGCTCTCCAAAATCACGACGTAGTTGTTCTAGTGCTTTTTGTAAAAATTGATAAATTGTATTACCCTTTTTCATAACAATTGTACGTCTATGACCTGAACCATCCCAGTAACTGAATGTGATACTTATTTCTTCTTCTTTTAAGCATTTTTGTTTATCGGTCCATTCTTGTCTTAATGTTTCTCGTAAACAATTCTCTTCAGATTCTCTGGCACGATCTGGTAAAAAGCTAGTATCAACATCTGGATTTTTTTTGATTTTTTTAGGCAAAGGTTGAAAGCTAGGTTCTTCTTCTGCCTCTTCTTCGTCTTCTTCTTCCACTTCGCTTTCTTCAGACATATCTTCAATAAATGACAACGCTTTAATCTTCCGTTGCTGTCTTCGTTTTTCTTCTAGTTTTGCCTCTAATTGTCTTTGCTTTTCAAATTCCACTTCTTTTTCTTTTTGTACTAATCTCTTAGCTCTTTCTTGGACAACCGTCTCTTGTTTAGCTTTCATTTCATCTAGGGTCACCAAACCAATAGTCGAGCTCTTGAGCTGTGCCTCCAAAGAATCATAATGTTTGGCAAACTTATTTTCTATATTTGACAGTTTCATTTCTTCTTCAATTTTTTTCTTACGTAACTCAATTTCAGCTTGAGCAAGCTCCCGTTTTTTCATCAATTGCATAGCACGGCCAGCTTCACTGGCAGCTCCTTTGTAATGTGCCATTTTGATGATTTTTTTTTTTTAGCGTTTACAATGTTAACATGTAATGCCGACAACAACTAACAACAACAAAACAACCTTAAACTTAAGACTGAAACTTTAAAATAAGGGAATTTAAACAAAAATGTTATTACTTACATGTAAAATGAGTAGAGTTTGTATCCAATTATTGTACTTTTAAAGCACTAAACGAAAAACATAGTCGCGTATAAATTGTACACGCATTAAATGATGTACAACAGATAGAAAAGTACAGCACAACAATATACGGGCTACAGCCAGATTGCCATTTGTCGAAACGCCGAATCCGAGAACGTCATTAAGGTTGAAGTTACTAACGAGTTGTAGTCGTTGACGCCGTCGATTCACCGGCGCCTTGTACTGATGTTGGAAACACTGTAACCGTTGTCACTTGTCAATAAATGAAAATAATCACACATTTTAAGAACCAATTATAATTTTGTAACATTTTGTAACAAAATTTGTTATTTGTTCATCTATTTACCTATACTCTATTATAATTTATTATAGTCTATAGTCTAATAGTCTATGCTCTATACGGTTATACGATACCTATTACCTAACACCTATTTTAATTTATAAATTGGATTTACTATAGTAGTACAGTACAGTAATTGTACTGACGTATTCATTATTATTTTATTGTGTTTTATTAACTTGTTTTATTAACTTTACCTAAACGTATACGTACTACACAAAAAAAATAATGGCTACGATATTTGGTGTATCGTTGAATCCTTTTTCAACGCCTGTAGGTGAAAAAATTGGTGAGTTTCTGTTTTCATCCACAGTGCTTTAACCATATTGATCGTTACAAATGATTTTATATTAAAAATAATTTACATTGTCACTCCTCACATCTATGATAAATGCATAGGTATATTATTCAGGGACCTGTATATTTTATAATGTTAAGACTATTCTTTAAAACCTTTCCATACTTATGATTATTTAAAATAATATTTAAAAGTACATAATAACTAATAGTAACAAGTGTGTAGGCACATTATTATTAATACAATTGTATGTTTAATATTTTGTATGTATGCAACTGTTTTATTATCAGCAATATAAAAACAAAGGCTAACCATTTCGTTTTCATATTTCATAGCCTTCTTTTATTACCTAAAAGTTAGAACACAGCAACAGTACAAAATTGTTGTGTTTTTTGAAGTATTTTTAAATTGTCACAGAATTAGTGCAGTGTTGTAAATATGAAGCAATATAAATGTTTAATAACTAACATACACCATACCTAAATATTAATAATATCCTATGAGTATGTTTATGTACTTATCCCAACTATGTACTTATGTAGTTAATAGTATTGTTAATGTAATATGCAATATTGCATAATAAATTGAGATTCCTGTTAAGAAGATATTATTGTTCTATGGTGTAGTCTCTGTCTTACCAAAGCATAACACATACAATTTTAAAATGCTCATAACTTGGTAAAAAATAAAAATAAAATTAAAAATTACGAGATACACAAGGTATTCATACCTTTAAATTTGATAATAGGTCACTTCACTCTATTATAAAAAATATCAGTGTAAAATAGATTTTTCTGACCGTTTAATGTACCATGTTAAGTATTAGTAAGATAGAAATACCAGATGTGGGTATATCACTCTTAATCGACTGTTAATCTTGTTTTTAACTTTCAATATACATTATACTCAACTTGTTTTACAATGATAAAAATAAAAAAGCATAACTTTTATAATTTATTTATACAAGATATTTTAAAGTTATAAAATATTTCTTTTTGAATATTATTAAATAATTTATTATAAATTATAATATTATATTTTGTTTTTATCAATAGAACTTGCAACTGATGGGGGCTTGGCTTCTGAAAATTGGTCACTTAATATGGAAATTTGTGATATGATTAATGACACAGAAGAAGGTCCTAAAGATGCAATTAAAGCAATTCGTAAAAGATTAAATCAAAATGCAGGAAAAAATCATAAAATTATTATGTATACCTTGACAGTAAGTATTATAATTAATTATCGATTATAATTATTTACATTATTTTACTAACTATAGGTTTTGGAAACATGTGTAAAAAATTGTGGTAAACGATTCCACGTTTTAGTTTGTAACAAAGAATTTTCTCAGGATTTAATTAAACTAATTGGTAAGCAGACTATTTTAATACTATTTTTTATAAATTGTTGATTTACATAATATGTGATATAATTTAGGTCCAAAAAATGATCCACCAACCATTGTTCAGGAAAAAGTGTTAAGTCTTATTCAAAGTTGGGCAGATGCATTTCGTAATCAACCTGATCTTCAAGGAGTTTACCTTGTGTATAGAGAACTTCGTCAAAAAGGAATTGAATTTCCTATGACAAACCTTGATACTATGGCCCCAATACATACACCACATAAAGTAACTTTTATACAGATATAAATTAAATATTTATTAAATATATTATATTATACTGTTTTGTAGAGTTATTCTGAAGAGCTCAAGCCAGTAGTCAGTTCACATTCAAATGATCAAACAAATAGCCGGTCAAACAGACCAGATCAACTTAATAAACTGAATTCTGATTTAGAGTTAGTTCGTGGCAATATGACGGTGTTGAATGAAATGCTTTCAGAATTGGTACCGGGAAAAGAAGATGGATCAGATGTTCAACTTTTAACTGTAACTAGTTTAACAATTAACATACATATTATAATTTTTAAAACTATCAGCATTTAGAGGATGTTATTCCAGCTTGTATTCTCTGTCTTACAAACAGATTTGTGTGCAACAGTTCCAATTTTGTGTCGTTAGCTTTAATATTAGAGGGAAATGGCCTATTATTAAACATGAAGGTTAAAACATTGTATGTGTTCTGTCATTGGTTATTACATATTTTATTTTTAAGCGAGTTATGAGCATTTTTAAATTTTAATATTTTACATACTCATAACCAGCTTACTTTTTAAAATGTCATAAAAACACATAAATAGAATTCATGTTCTTACTTTTATATTTCATAATTGGTCAAATCACTCAACAACACAATATTGGATATACTGAACTCAAATTTGATATGTTGTACTTTTGTAAGACGGAGACAACTTAACACGTTCACTGTGGATGATGCCTAATGGCTTAATTTATCATCGTTCACAATTGCTAAATAACGTCAATTATTCTCTTTAACTTTGTAATAAATGCAATTCAATATGGTCAATGTTATGTTTAAATTATTTGTTTTTGTTTGCATCTCATATAAGTAACATGCAAGTCGAAAATTTAATATTCAAAATTCATTTTTAAAATCCCAATTTATCAGCATCATGACAAATACACTCAAATATGATACATATTAAATGTGTTAAGCGGGTGTAGCGTCTTCAATAATATTATGGATGTATTTTATATTTTAAAAATATGATCTCTCTAAGATCAAATTCAATATAAAAATAATGCAAACTAGACATTTGAACAGAACTAGTCAATTTTTAATATAATTACAAATCAATAAAAATATTTTTAGGATTTATATACCACATGTAAAGCAATGCAAGAAAGAATTGTTGAACTCCTTGCTAAATTATCAGATGGTGAACTTACTGAACAACTTTTGCTAGTCAATGATGATTTAAACAATCTTTTTCTACGGTTAGCTTTTATATTAGTCAACATTTCAAAAAAAAATTACATATATTTACAAGTATTAATTGTGTGAAATAGATATAGCAGATATGAAAAAAATAGAGAAGCGGGATGTAGCTCGCTTTCTGTCGATGGTCAATCTATAAAAACAACTGATTTACTTCAAGGTTTTATTGATGAGCCAATTGCTACAACTTCAAACCAATTCTCAAAACTGAGTAATTATAACAATTTTTAATACAATACCATAAAGATTAAATCCTAATATACTACCATCTTTCTACAGTGAGTTAGAATGAAAGGAAACCTAAGCAAAAAATAAAAAGGAGTATATTCTATAACACATTCTAATAGGCAAACAAACAAAATATCAAAAAATATATTTCATACTTACTTCATACTTTTATTTAAAGGGATGTGGTAGATTGAATATTTGGGTACCCGAAACACAAAGATATAGTTTTATCACTACAAATAATAGTGCAATATGTTAGTTTTTTTTGAGTATTTTTTTAATTTAAAATATAAATTATTAACTAAGAATGTAAGATTTAAACAGTATTAACTTTTTTTGTGTTTAATAATTGATTAATCTTAGGTGTCACTAATGAAAAGCCTAAACAAAATCCACCTGCAGATTTGCTTACTAGTATTCACACAGATGACTTTGATATGTTTGCTCAATCTCGATCAGTATCATATGAAAATACAAAAATTGGGTAATAATAATATTTGATTAATTATGAATAAACTTAATATTTATTTTTGGGCATAGAAATTATAGTAATATTATGAAATATTTAGTGGAAGTAGTTATGATGCCAATTTAAAGCCAGATCAAGTTAACAGTTTAGCTTCTTTGACTCAAGCTCGATCACAAAATGTGACAACAAAAGATGTAAGTATCCACCTCAAGTGTCTTTATATCTTAATAATATAATCTCAATATTGTTGTTTAAGTATTAAATTAATAGATAATACTATATTCTGTATAATTGAATTCACGTTTGTATAAAGCAATTGTTATCGTTTTTGTAATATTTGTGTGTGTATTGTGTGGGTTCTGACCTTAGGATTGTGCTCATGAAGATGTCATCAGGGTAAGAGTACATTGTTTATAAAATGAAATTATGCCCTGATAATATTTTTTAACATTACTTGCTTGACATAATATATCAGTAATTTTATCTGACTATCTTAATTTATATGTAATGCAAAAATTAAAACCATTATTTATTATTATTATTTTAAGATTATGCATCATAAGTTTTTGTTTCATACGTACAGTGTTAATTAAAATGCATGCTAATATCTTTTTTTTCATCTATTTTTAGTTAAATTAGTATTTTTTGGTTCTAATTAATAATCACCAAATACTACCACCATAACACAATTTAAATAAAAAAGAATATATTATATACATTTGATCAATGATAATCAAACTTAACATGACATGAGAAATTTTCCCCAAAATATTTTAATATAGTTTAATGCAATGTTAGTATGGTATGTTTAGTTAACTCAATTAATTGTACTTTTAAAAATAAACACAATACACAATAATTATGTTTTCTACAATCAACTTTATGCACACATCTAAAAAATTTGCTTCTAGTTTGAGTACTCGTGCATCTACTAATCAATAGTTTATTGTAAATAATTTATAGTTAATACAATAATTATTTTGTTGTATATGATATAACCCCTATGAAAAAAAATATTCCATAAATTTATATAATTATATTATTATAATACATTAATTTTATTGCAAATTGATATACTTATTTAAATATTTAATATAATTACATTACAATTAAATAAAGCTTCTTTTTTTTAACTGTTTATTATTTGTAAAATGTTTCAATAAATTATTTTAAATATTTCTAACCATTTATTTCATAATTATTATGTTTATTATTTTAAAATATATTTTAAATATTTTAGATGCACAGTGAACAGGATTTCGATGAAATAGCAGCTTGGCTCAGTGAAAATGTGAGTAAATAATAATAAATATGGATTAGTAATACCATTTATAATCAATGGTATTACATTTAATCAAATTATGTTAGTGGTATGAAAAATGCTAGTTTTATAAGATTTTAATTAGAAGCACTTATTTAGCACTGCTGAGTATATTTGTTTTTATATAATATGGGTTTACTTTATTTCATAAACATACATAATTATTTTATTTTAATGGTTTTGTACCTTTAACATAACAGTCTTATTCTTTTGTCATTAAAATATATTAAACTGGGTTTAATAAAATGAAAAATCAATAATTTTTCCATCCAATATCAATGTACTTATGTATAATTTATTATTATTTCTTTACATCACTACTTTTTTCTTCATTTTTTTAGCCAGGAAATTCTACAAGACTTGGAGGTGAAATCGAAGAATCTCTATCAAGCAGTGAATTTGAGAGATTCTTAGCAGAAAGAGCAGCAGCTGCTGAAAATTTACCCACAGGAAATAACGAAAATGAATCAAGACGTAATAAAGACAAACAAGGTGATACCATGTTTGCTTTGTAAGGCATTACCATATAATTTTGAAGTATTTAATTTATTAGTCAGTAATTGAATATTAATCATATAACTTGTCAAGGCGTTAATCCTAATTATTGTGTTCTAAATCTAAAAAAACCATAATATTTAATCCATCACTTAAATAAATTGGTATTCCATTTTTAGTTTTAAAATAATTACTTGTTTAAAGACTATATAGATATTCATTCAATAATATTTTTGGGGACCTGGTGTAACGCTGTAGTTGGCCGCAGTCACTAATGTATGCTGTGGTCAAACATTTTGTCCCTAACTCCTGTTTCTTGTGAATTATTAAACATATTTTATCAGCTATTATATTTTAATTGGGATAAATATGGGATAAATAATGTATAAGTACAATACTAAGAGAAGGTTGTAATTGTATTTTCTTTTCCAAATTCCTTGTGTAAATCAAAATGTTAGGAATGCTGTTACATTTTTTTATGATGTACAATTATTTTTTATAAATTTTATCAAATTGTTAAGTGTTAACTACAATAACAGGTATACAATCTCATTCCACTCTAGCATATAGGTTATTAGATTGACAATACTGTTTTAACATTGTACTATTCCAATAGTTTTATTTTTTAAATTTCTAATCTGTCATAAAATTATGAGTACTAATTTTCGTTTCTGTGCTATGAAATATGAATAATATTAATATTATCCTTTTTAAGCTTAAACAAATCATAATTATTATTGTTTATAATTTTTATTGCACTAAAATATTTCAACAGTCTTAGATGTTTAGTGATTTGGTTGTATGTTGTTATTTTTTTGAAATATTTACATTTTCTTTACTAAAAACTTACCTCTTTTATCTTTATATACCTATGAATTATTCCAATTGTTATTTATTTAAAAGTGTATTTGTTGTTAATTTAATTTTAATTTTAATAATTTACCATATAACCATGTACCACTTGTAAGCACTTTTTAATTAAAAATGTTTGTTTAAAATGTATAAGTCATATTATATTGCCTATAGTACATTTAGTTTTGTGTTGCACCATACACACACTTTATTGCTATGGGGATGATTAATTTATTTTGGAACTAAATATAATAATGCTATTCGTATTCATTTAATAAATATGTTATGAATGTAACAAATTATTTTGTTGCGTTCACTGTGCCACGGCCTAAATTTGTGCAAATGCTATGGGCCCTATGTTTTAATTTCCTAGAACTGGGGGTTATTTAAAAATATTTTCACAGAGATTAGTCCATTACTATCTTGGGTATGCAAATACCTTTTTATCAATTGTAATATTTATACTCCATAATCTATTGTAATATTCCATGCATTTTTGTGAAACCAATTATATTATAGTATTAGATATTTAGTTATTAATCCATTAGTCAATAGTACATAACACAAAATACTGTCTAAATCTAGAAACTTTTATAATTGTCTGAAATGCTAATTAATATTAAATATCACTGTAATTAAATTGAACCTTGACCATAATAAAACTGAAAATATAATTTTCAATTAAGATTTTTGGAAAACGTGAAATGCGTTTCATAGGTCAATAATAACCTCAATTCACTTTCCAATTTCCACCGTACACTGAGCCCAGAAAAACGAGACAATATAATTTATGTTAAAATAGTGTGATTAATAAATTAACTTAGTTTGGTGACTTAAATTAAAAATGTAAAAATACTATAGCATAATGAGCATACTACATAATAAATTATGTAGTATAAATGTATAATATATACTATCATTTAAATAGTGTATACTAATCAAGTGTTTTAAAGTCGCCAAGCTAAGGTCAATTATTTAGCAGATTCTTTTAACATGAATTATATCTATAGTTCAAAGACTTAACTATAAAATTATATCACAACTTTTTTTTTTACACGGAGTGTTTTTGTTGGGTTATTGATTACTACAGTATAAATGTACCTATATTGCCTATACTTTATGACGGACAACACTTTATGTTTGAGCAAAGTATTTAAAACAATGAATTATTAATATTTTTATTGTATGTTGTACACTTGTACCTACAAAAAAATAAGGGACTACCTGCATAATAGTTATTTTTCGTTAAAATCTGAATTTGATATATTGGGTAACTGTGTAAACATAATAAAATGTATACAAATATATTTTTGGTATTTTTAGGTTAAAAAACAACTCATTTATTTACTTTTAAAATACATTCTCCCACCGGAGCCACTAGATATATAGTATCACAAGTCTATTGTTTACAATTGTTGGACCGACGGACCGTGTATTAGCGCTGAACGCTACTTACGAGCCATAGAGGTGAGTGGACGACATTTCTCTCATCCACGCAATCAAAACGGACTGTTCCGCCACGGTTGCCGTATCCCGTGTACCATGGGATCGTTCAGGCTCTACCACCGGAGCCAACCCCCCCGGGTCAGGTCCTCCCGGCGTTCTATACCAGCGAAATCCCCAAATCCGCACGAATCCGACTCAGCTTCTATGGCGCACTCTCCACTCAGAAGCATTCCGAGGGCGGACACTCGCCTGGCTTGCGAGCGTCCTGGGCTAACCCCCGGCCCTTGCTACTTATCGTATATAGTGTTATAAGCCGGACATACTTCGCCACCGTCCCGTGGCTACCGAGTTAAAAGAGCTTTCAGAATAGTATTGATACTGTGATAACGGACATAGTCTTTATTTAGATACTACATGATGCTAAATTGTTATTTTATCCACTGATATGACTGATTTTTAACTGTTGTATTCGTAATTGTCAGGAAAAGGTTTGTGTGAAAGAAAATTTTATGAAAACCCAACGAAACAGTAGGACACTGGATGGAAAAAATACAACAATGGCGCCAGCTAATAGGCTTAATATAATATGGACTATTATTTTTTTTACGAGAGTTTGAAGTTAGACATCGAATATTCCCTCTCATAATAAATTAACAATAAAATACCTACTTGAAAATTACTACGTTAGCCAAAGGACTGCGGTTGTGCACTTAAAAAACGTGTCACACTCCTCCGCAAAATCCAAATCCACCAGAGGCGTTCTCAGGATATTTCAATGGAAGGGGATGAAAAAAATGGTTTCAAAATAAGCCGTAAGGGTTTTGCCTCACAACTCCCATATTATAATAATGAATATTAAAAAAGTGGGTAAGTGGATGTCGCTCTGCTGTACAGTAGATTACAATAGTTGGTCACTGTATAATGGATTGTATTAAATTTGAATTCAATGATATCATATTGTATACGAAAAACGATTCTGAGCGGAGACGGTTTGTCAGTCTGGATATATTATATTGTTATTCTAGAAATTCGCTAAACTAGACCGGTTCAAAATTATCCCACATTATCCCGCACCGGGAATAAATGATATGGTCCAAACATCCCGGTGCATTATTTTTCACACCGGTTTAGTCTAGCGAATTTCTATATGGACTTCTAGAAATAGTTTTTCCTTAGATCATATGATATCCTATGATCCTATGATCTAAGTGCTTTTCACGTACATTTCTATGTACCCAGCATCTATGTATGGTTATTATTTAATCCACGGTCGTAGAATATTAGAGATTGGGTTTAAACCACGGACTAAGATATACAGGACTGGACACGAGATGAATATTGTGGTTACGAAATGTTTTACAACAGGCAGAGTTCGGGGGGATATTTTCCTTTTAGCATTACTAGCGCCGTCTTAGTGGATACTTATGGAACTAGAAATTTGTATGATGTGTTCTAGTTCCATAAGTATCCACTAGAACGGCGCTAGTAATGCTAAAAGGAAAATATCCCCCCGAACACTGCCTGTTGTAAAACATTTCGTAGTCAACCCCCCCACACCCTCCAACCTTGTCGTGTCCAGTCCTGTATATCTTAGTCCGTGTTTTAAAGCATACTACCACCACAGAACAGACATTCAATTCATTCAAACATGTCCTGTGGTAGTGTGGTACTATCAAGTATCAGTACTATCACATCCTATGTCATGGGATAGAATAATTTGTTACTAACATCAATATAATAATCGTTTAGGTTTTAATCAGATTTCAGATGTCGTTTCTTAGTTAATACATGAAATTTTCTCACCGACTATCAACTATCAAGCCAGGGATGTTCCTACTTCCTACTTCCTTACTAACTCCTAAGAAGTAAGCACTTCACGTTAATATGTTATTCAAATAAATTCTTTTGGTTTTAATTTATTTTTCGTTTCTTTAAACTTCAAATTTTATTCCAATTACATCAATATTACTCGTAACACTTTCGATCCAGACACGAAGCCATGTACGCCGTAAAAACACCCAGCAAATATATGACAGCGAAAACTAGAAGAGGTGCGTTAGTTTTATTATTTAAATTACTCAGAAGGTTACCTATTTATAACGTAAACATTAATTAGGTAGCCGAAAATAATTTATGTTTACATTTTTCTCCCAGGCATCCGCCACAGTTTTGATCGGCTGGATTCTTTTCGCGAGAACTTTAAAAAAGTCAATGGTACAGAAGAAGAAGAACTACCATCGTATGTACCGATTACTTAATTTATTATTTAAACAATAATGCCAGATAAATGTGTTTATTGTACATGTGATTGTTGGTTATGTCTTTAAGTCCTGAACCAAAGCCAGTATTTCATTCTAATGGCCATCGTAAGGCTTTAAACAAGTGTCCTCCATCACCCCAAGATGTTTTAAGCCCCCAACATGAAAAGCTCATACACTATATCAATGATTGTAAGTATGACTGTCTATGTTTTCAAGTTATGTTTGTGACTTAATAAGTAAAATATAATTTTAAACATAATTTTTTATCTAAAATGTAAACTTAAAACCCTATTTTATATAGAGACTTTTGTTAGAAACCTACTTTATTTTTTTGATATTTATAAGAACAAATATTAAACGCATAATTAATATGACTGGGTACTTCAAACTAATCATATTTAAAAAGTAAATATTCTCAGATAGATCTATATTATAATGTTATCAAGTTTCAGACTTCAGTATCAGGTCTAGTTTATATTAGGTACTTCCTACTGCCTACCCATACCAAGAATCTTAAACGAAAAATACAATTTAAATAATTTTTTACTATTACTGTTTGATAATTTGAGTATAACAGTATCTATAATTGTTAGGTGTATGTTAAATACAAAATAATATACAATTATTTATTATATTTAGACTTTCAGAAAATAAATACCAAGATAAATACTGAATAAGCTTTGTACTCTTCTACTTAGTAGCTAACTTGCCGTTGTAGCTTGTATTAATTACAACTTAATTATCATAGATTTATTGAATATAGAAAAACACTACTCAATCCATCTTTTCCATCAATTCTTTTTTCATTTAAAATTATAAAATTACACTGTCATAATGTATTTATGTCAAATTAGTATATCTCAATTTATTTTTCTTTGATTTAAATCGGAGGCTCTAAAATATTTTGTTCGCGTACTACTCGTGTGTATTAACGTTAGTTAGTAATTAATAATTGAGTTTTTAACTTTAATAAAGTTGTACACAATATTAAATAAACACAAAAATAATATTAAATTTAATTGTTCCATACAATTATAATGTTAGTTTTGTCACTTGTAGTTTATAAAATAAATACATATTTTATTAGAAATACTTATTTTATTATTGACTATAGTATGTATATTGTATTTTAATAAATTAGTCGCGGCATCAAGCGGTAGTAGGGATAACAGAAAAGTACCCTTTTTTTAAAATACATATAACATAATTAAATCAATCAGTATTCAAAACGTTGGAATAAAAATATGTCTGCATGAAAAATCATTAGTTTTGAATTCCTTAAAAAAATTATTTTAAAATTTCATACTACTGAGTACTGGAAGCCAAATATCCTAATCTTCGGGGGATCATTGACTGAATACGTAGTACAACTACATAATACATTTAATAATTGTGTTACATTTTATTATTATGTTATTATTACATTTTATTTAATAGTATAGTATTCACCTACCTATACATATTTCTGATCCGAGTACATTCTTTTTTAGTAAAATGAGTTATTCTTTAGTATCTATTGACTAATTATATGATTTCTATATAAAAAAAAAAAATAATAATTTTAAAATACATTGTTATTACCTATAGTGTCACTGTGTCAGAGACTATCTATTTTTATTGATTCCCAATGGACCAGTGAAAAAATATATGTTAGCTGTTAAAAACTAAACTCATCAATTATCATAGTGTGGTTCTAAAAACTCTAAACTTTAATATTCAAAATATACAATTTTAGGTCAATATATTTTATTAAAAAAATCTAATTATTTAATTTTTTCACTTAATATTATTTGTATTGTCCTTTATTTGCTACTTTAACCTCAGAATTATATTTTTCAGCTTGGCACTCGGTTATAGAAGATGAAGAATCATCTATAAGTATGTTAATTTTACCAATTGTAATTAAATTAAATTTGTAGGTAATAATATTGTTTTATGATTTTATTAGGTTCACAAAAAATTATTTACTTCAAACCTGAAAACACTGCAGAAGTTCTAAATGGTATATAATACTTACTTAAACTTAAAATTGTAATTTTTATCAGATTGTAATTTTTTTTTAGGTTTTCAAGCATTTGATTTAGATACATATTGGATCAAACGTTTATACAATAATATCACTAAGTCAGTGCCATAAGTTTTTGGTATAGTGAATTATTTTTTAGAAATTATTTTACCAGACTCGCCCATAGCTCACAATGTATCAAAGACACATGAACACTTGCGCGAATAATTAGTCATTATTGTGTCAAAACCCGTAGAAATGAATCTATGTCTTTAAACACTGAATGGGACAGGAGGGAAAATATGGCAACTAGTAGTTAAGTAGTATTTCCTAGTAGTAGAATTCAATGTTATAAAAATACCAATTTTTAAATATTATTGTAAAAGTATTGATTTTAGTGAATTGTTGTTTCCTCATAATGAACTTTTGTTTGTTTATAGTTATTATTATTTTTATTATTATTATTATTATTATTATTATTACCACATTATACAAATTTATGTTGTGAGTTATCTGAACAAGACTGAAATTTGTATAAAACAAAATTACTTTATGAGCGATTATTTTATTTTTAATCCTTATTATTTTGAATATTATGAGACCTTAAGCCAATATTTATTGTTTGTTGAAGTTTGAAGTTACTTTTTTATTGTTTGTAAAAATATTATATAATTAATTCATATTGATTTTGAATATTGGCCTTTTGTCTCATTTATATAAAATTTCTGTTTAAAAACAACTTTTTCCTCATTTATCCATTATTTGTTTTTGAATATTAAAAAAATTGAAAGGGAACATACAAAATAAAAATTTATTGTAATTATGAATATTTGCCTGATCAACATTTACTTGCTTTGATAATAAGTAATAACAAACAACTAGTTCCTAGGAATTTAATTTTGTATATCAATTCAATTATTTTTTTAATACATAGCAAGACTGACGAGCTTTTAAAATACACCTACTTAAAATCTCGTATTATAGACCAAATCTTCATTTGAATTGGTATACTAATGTTAACTTTTTTGTTATAAATTGTTATTAGATACTGTTACTTGTATACCTACAATAGAGGTGTTAGATGATCAAATTATTTTGTTTAATTGTTGGTAATGACTATTGTATTTAGTAAATAGGCGTCCAAAGTTGCTACGTACATCTCATAAATAAATGCATTAATTGTTTTATGTACAACTGAAAAATGTTATAAATTGGTTTGCTTTATGTACAACTGAAAAATGTTATAAATTGGTTTGCTTTATTTGAATGAATAAATAGTAATTTAATGTTATTTTTAATTCTATATTATTTATTAGTACCTATAGCAGTATAGCCTATTCCTATTGGCTATTATAATTGATACAGCACATAAAAAAAATAATAGCTGGTAATTAGTGTTCAAATAATATTGTAAGTTTTCTCTATTCATGTTGAAGTACCTCCGATGATAGGCCTCTTCCTTCAGTCTCTTCTGTCTATTTTTGTTCTATTATCACTTAAGCTTATTGTTCTAATTATAACAGATAGTGTAATAAAGACTTTTGTTAAAAAAAAAAAGTTTTCTCAAGATTTTGTTCAGCACAAACCAATAACCATAATATATAATACAAATTTAAATGCCGCAATTTTAATTCTGAGTAGTTTATTTAAATATTTTGGCATTTTGCTATACAATTTAATAGATAGGTATTATAGAATTGTAATTTATATTATTAAAATACTAGGAATTTTCAATTTATACCTCTCAAAAGTACCAACTTGGTTCTATTTGTGATTAGAAACCACCCTAAAAGTTGAAAATTAAAGCGTTGCCTACTATATTTTGTCCAGCAAGACTACAAGCCGCAGATCGACAAAAAGCAGTATCCCAACACCATCGTGGAAACAGTTATGATGACAGGGTGCATCATGACAAATTATATAGGTATCATCACAGCATTTTGATACGCATCATCCGCTCTTTACTTTGCCTATATTGTAGTTCTCCACTTCTTATTGGCTGTCAATCATATACATACATATATAACATAGAACAAAATCAACTAACGAAAAGTGGAGAACTACGATATAGGCCGGAGGTGAAGAAGATGCGTATCTACTGTGCAAAACTAGTACAACTGTGATGATACCTATATAATTTGTCATGGGGTGTATGATGCTGGGGATGTGCGGAAGAACCGATTTTTGCTGTTCTGCGACGTGTAGTGTTGCTGGTCAAAGTATATTAGAAAATACTTTGATTTTCAGCTTTCAGAGTAGTTTCTAGTAACAAATTGGACCTATTTGGTTTTCATAGTGGAAACGGTTTTGATGGCAGGGTGACGCATGGGATGTGCAGAATCGGCATGCTCTCTCAATGGAGAGAGCATAATCAGGGACGGATTGGGCCACTGGAATTCAGGAAATACCCGATGTGCTGGGTCCTCACTAATTGATGCCCTACTGCGCACATTACAAAACTCCACAACTCACAGGGGTCTGAAACTTGAAAGACAATTTTAAAAAAGCATGGTCGTTAGGTTTTTAAAACACAATATTCAAAACGTTTGGTTCATTGTTTAAAACAGCGTAAAATCCAAGTGAATATTGTGTTTTTTTGGTTTATTATTAATAATAAATAATAATAGTTATCCTGCAGAAACTAAAGTATTAAATAATTATTATATCTATTACCATCTTTCATTACATTTTTTTTTAATTTTATTGAATAAATTACCAAATTTAAAATGCCTACTTAATAATTATTAATTATTATATAATACATTATGGTATAATGTCCACATAAGACATCCATTCAGAAATATTTAAAACAAGTAATAAATAAACTGTGAAACATATACTAGTACACTGCATATTGACATATAACTATTTAAGTAAATTAAACATTCAATTAAAATTAAGTTATTTTGTTTAAAACATTGTCTTAAACAGAAAAGAACAGTTTAAAACAAAAATAAATTTGGGTAAATGGATGTCACTCTGCTGTACAGTAGAACAGTAGGTTACAAGTGGATATAACACTTACAGATATCCTGTAAAGGATGGTGTTAAATTTTTATTCACTGATATAATATCATTAGAATATAAGTAAAAGCGATTCTGAGCGAACACCGTCAGACAGCCTATGATATTATTAAGTATATTATTGCGAATTAAAAATTTATACTTAACCTATTTAAGCGAAACATTGTTTTAAATTTTCAATCCTTAACTATAAAAGTTGAACATTTTTTACATTTTGAACTACAAAATAATTAATAAATTTTGTCAAAAATCGAACTTAATATGCTTATAAAAAAAAATACACCTATTTGTTCAGGCTTATCAATATAATATTAAAAAATAAAGTACAAATTGTGTACATTTTTCAAAATCAAAAATATATCATTGTAATTAATATAATTTACAGAATATCTATGTATTAAACAATTTTTGTAAATACATATTGTATTTAACTATTATAAATGGTACATAAACCTAAACTACAATACAATATATTAAACTTCCAAAATAGCACAAGTCATATAAAAAATTGTAGAAAGTAATTAACACGCATGTCAAATTTTTACAACAGAAATAGATGTTAACATTTACATTATAGTTACTTATACATTAGCATTTTATGTACAAATATTAATAAGTTAGAAAACAGTATAACATAAAGCGGTATTTTCTCTTTTGAAACGGAGTATAGTATTCAAGTATTGTGTTCTTCAGTAGTAGATAATAAATAAAACTATTTTAATTTTAGCTTAGTTTTAGTAAATATTTCACTATTTTTTTTAATCCAGGGATGTTCAATGACATCAGTTAGTGGTAATCTAGACTTTGGAACTTTAACCAAAAGCTTTGAAATCAATTGTCTAGAGCTCTCACTCATATAAGGTTTGAAACCATACATTACAGCACGAATTTTTCTAAAAGTCTCTGCCTGTTCTGAGCTCTCAAAAGGTGGTGATCCACATAAGAATTCATAACACAGCACTCCTAAACACCAGTTATCAACATATTCGTTATATGTTTGAGAGTCAACCATCTCTGGTGGTAAATAGTCAATAGTGCCACACATGGTGCTTCTACATTTGGATGGTGCATGGACAGACCATCCAAAATCTGCCAACTTTATAACATGATGACTAAACAATAGGAGATTTTCTGGTTTTATATCTCTATGAATAACACTTTGTGAATGACAATATCTTAAAGCGTCAGCTACTTGTCGTAAATAATATGCAGCTGTTGGTTCATCAAAACGTTTATGCGGCTGCGAGTTCAATACTTTAAATAATTCACCTTCTTGGGCAAATTCCAAAATTAAATATATTTTTTTTTCGTCCCAAAAATAAGTCAGCATTTTTAGAATGTTAGGGTGAGTAAGATGTGTTTGAATTTCAATTTCTCGTCGTACTTGATGTTCCATATGATCTTTTACCAATTCTGATTTAAACATCATTTTTAAAGCAACCATATATTCTGTATTTTTTTCCCGAGCAAGATATACACGACCAAATTTTCCACGACCAAGTGGTGTTCCAATTTCAAAATCACTTAATTTCCACTGATGAATTGAAGGCCGTTTAGAATAAATTTCCTTCATTTTTTTTTCTATGTGTTGAACAACTTCATTTTGAGATTCAGTTTTATGTTTTTCTCCAACCACAGCCATTTTATGAATATAATTGAAGACTACCAAAAATACAAACTGAAACAAAAAAAATAATATATTAGTATCCGTGAACTAAATAATAAATTTAATTAAACAGCTATCGAGTGTTAAATCTAAAAATAAAGATAATTTATTATTTACCTATTAATTACTAGAAGACAAGAAAAATAAAATAAAATATAATATTGTCTAATTATTCAATTCAATCATATTGCAACAACATAAATCTGAATGACCAATGGTTATTAGCAGGGCTCTGAACTTAATGTGCTTTAGCTTGATGCCTTGATACATCTTGTATCAAAAATAACAAAATTTGCACATATACATTTGTTTTAATTAAAGTATTTAAGTTTAAAGAAACCAGAAGACAGATGTCAGACGTGTGTCAACTAATTTATTGTTCTTGTGCAGGTTGATAGATGGCCCATCTCTCCTCGCTCATATTAACTTTAGACTTTAGCATTCCTACTTACTCCACTAGATGTCTAGATCACACCATCCCTTTGTCATTCCACTTCATAATACTAACTGTGGTGGGAATGATCCAATGATCATGGTAATTTGGTTTGGTACCATTAAGTTTTAATACCGTAATACATAAGTTATGCTGTGTATTTAAAATAAATACAAAAAACATTCTTATTCAAAAAAATGTATTCAAACACTTTATAAGGTTGGAAAAATATACCTTACCATTGTCCAAGGACAATATGAGAATTGAGTAGGCAGCTGGTAGGTCAACTTTAAACCAACTGTTATATTGTGTCAGATTTTTAATAATAATATGTAACAATTTACGCCACTGATTGGAAAAATTAATTAAAGATAAAATGGGAAACAGCAGACTTTGGGACATTCCAAACGATAACATGGACAACAATATTTATCGTTTGGACCAGAGATTAGTATATTAAGGCTCTCGTCTCTCTAGTCCAGACCATGCCTATTACGAAACCATTAAACAATCATCTCGTTGTTATTACAGTGCCTGCCTCGATAGACTCTAGTTGAGGTCAACAAGTCTGTTTTCATTATTAAATACTCATAATTTAAAGTACCTAGTCAAACTGTACCTGAACCAAATAATAGAAGAGAAAAATTTCTGCTGGCGGCCTTGTGTAATACTCCGTGTTTCTTTCTCAATCGGCCTCTGAAGTTTCGGACGTTCAAGTTGAACCATAAACAAGAATAAGTCTGTGTTTACAAATTATTGAGTGTGCTCGAACAGTCGAACAGTCACGTCTTGTCCTAGTGGAAGTCCGGACTGACGAACTCCGAAGTTGTGACTATAGCGCATAGAGCAAAGTATATAATAGCGAGTAACGAGTAACGACTGTAAGTCGTACGAGTAACGACTTTTTTTAACTAAATGAGTTGAGTTGTGAAAGTGGAACGGACTACGGAGTACGGACGAACAGTTGAAAATTAAAAAATTAAAATTAATAACAAAAAAGCCGTTTGACGACGATTTGAGTCGGTGGCCAATGAGACGGGCTTGTTCGGCCGCCTTCGAAATACTGCGTCACCATTGGTCCACGAATTCGGGATTTCGACTTTTATCACTCGGACTGTTTGTCTGTTTTGCTTATCACCATTTAGGCTCAGGGTCAGGGCTGTTGAATTTTTATTTTGCAGTTCGCACCCGGCTACCTAGTTGTTTTTGCTTTTTACACGGTCAGACGCATTAATGCATTATCAATTATCATACTTCATCGTTCTCCATCGTCATTATATCGTCATTTTCCGCTTAAAAATTGTAAATCGTAATACGCAATGCCCAAAATGAACGGTCGATCGGATTGTACATGACGGTGTACGATGTGGAAATCGCCACCCTATTTCTCAGACGCGCCAAAATAGTTTCGCATATGTGATCGCCGCGCGCTGTTTGTCGAACGTTTCGTTCTCGCGAAGCTGTATTATATTATATTATTCTTTTTTAATATCGAGAGTGATATTAGAGGTCCGCAATGAAGGCATCGATATGTATTCTGTTTCTCGTGCTTTGCGGCACGGGACTCAATAATGGCGACACCAAAATAGTTCTACTGAATTCTTCCCAACCGATTGCAGCTGACAACGAAGTCAAGAATGTTCCAAATTCCTCAACTACCCCAGAAGTGTCGACGGTCGTGACCAATGAGACGAGTACCAATATGACTGAAAAATCAACAGTCGTCACACCCGGTGAGCCAGTATTGCCAAAAAAAGGATCTGCTGAAGAAGAACGCAACAGTTCAATCGCCATTTTCTTTGTGCTCAGCGTTCTTGCTCTAGGCATACTGCTCATTCATCTCATGTTGTCCACACATTTTCAGTACCTACCTGAAAGTGTGGTAATTGTGTTTCTCGGTGCTGTTATTGGTCTCATTATTAATCTCATGTCTGAACAGCATATTGCTAATTGGCGCAACGAGGAAGCATTCTCTCCAACAGCATTTTTTCTCGTCCTGTTACCACCAATTATATTTGAATCTGGTTACAATTTACATAAGGGAAACTTTTTTCAAAACATCGGTTCTATTCTTGTGTTTGCTATTATTGGCACCACTATATCAGCTCTAGTTATTGGTGCTGGTATCTATGTCCTTGGCCTAGCTGAGATAGCGTACAAATTAAGTTTTGTTGAAAGCTTTGCGTTTGGATCGTTAATTTCTGCTGTTGACCCTGTAGCCACAGTAGCTATTTTCCATGCTTTGGATGTAGATCCTGTGTTGAATATGTTGGTATTTGGAGAGAGTATATTGAATGATGCAATTGCCATCGTATTGACTACATCAGTATTACAGTCCAACGGACCAGCTATGAGCACTTCTGAAGCTGTACTGACAGGCATCAAGCAGTTCTGTTTGATGTTTTTTGCTTCAGCTGGTATTGGTGTAATATTTGCATTAATCAGTGCACTGTTATTGAAATATGTTGACTTGAGGAAAACACCTTCATTAGAATTTGCTATGATGTTGGTGTTCACTTATGCACCGTATGTCTTGGCTGAAGGCATTCATTTATCTGGTAAATTATTACCTGATATTTCACATTCACGTATTTTCACTTTTTATATTTTGTCTCTTAATTTTAATGATTACATTTTTTTTCAGGAATAATGGCTATTCTGTTTAATGGAATTGTCATGTCACATTACACTCATTTCAATTTGTCAACAGTCACACAAATTACAATGCAACAGACAATGAGAACATTGGCATTTATAGCGGAAACTTGTGTATTTGCTTATCTCGGACTAGCATTATTCAGTTTCAGATTACACTTTGAACCGGCTTTAGTAATTTGGAGTTTAATTCTGTGTTTGATTGGACGTGCTTGCAATATATTCCCATTGGCTTATTTGTGCAATAAATTCAGAGAACATCAAATTACGAAAAATATGATGTTTATTATGTGGTTTAGTGGTAAGTTTCACATCAATCTGAAGTATCATCTTCATATAAGTGTTAACTTTAAATAATAGTTAAATACATTAAAGTAAAGCAGATTGTTTGAGAAATGAATATCCCTTTATAATCATTAAGGTAAATAAAATTATTTTTATAAATTTAATAGATCAGATATGCAGAAAACTTCCCGAAGATTATTTGAGCTGTGCCTTTGTTTATCAATCATAAGTATATTTTCAATTTTGTTCCTTTCTCTCCTTAATTATTTTGCCTCTGTTAAGGTTAATTTAAGAAATACTTGGGGGGGAAGGCGTCCCAATTTATGTCTTTGATTGGTTTTATTTATTAAGTAATCAAATGCTACTTAAGTACTTAATTCTGTTATTCTATATTAGTGTAATGGCTACATTATTCTTATTATTTTTTGTTCTTTGTAAAAAGTACAATATTTTAACAATAATTATTTAGAGTTACGTCTTAACTGACTTTTCTCTGCTTTGCTAAATTATCTGGTAATGAATAATGATTGTACATAGTATAGATTTCTTAGAAATTACACTTTAATTATGTATTATATATAATATATTAACATCATAAAATTTAAAAAGGTGGGCAAGTGGGTGTCGCTCTGCTGTACAGTAGGTTACAAGTGGGTCACTGTATAATGGATATTATTACATTTGAATTCAATGATATTATATCATTGTATAAGAAAAACGATTCTGAGCGGAGACGGTATATATCTATGGTATTAAAAAAAATTGACCTATAATGAATTCCAAATTAATCATATCACAATATCCATTAGGTACTTATAACACGGTATATACCAACAACAAACCCTGATACTATCATAGATATAGTAGTATTCTTTAGAAGTTTTAAGTACCCACAAATAATATTATACAATCACAACAAAAAACTAAAATAGTTATTCTAGGTTTTTTATTATGTAATTTCGTCCAAATTTGAATTTAAAATGTCTGTAAAAAATAACTGTGTTCATATATTTTTTAGATTTTTTGGTTATAGTATGAACTATTTATGAGAACCTTTGTTTTAAATTTGCAATCCTTAGATATAAAAACTGAACATCTTATAATTTATTAATTACAATGATTGATAATTTTCGAGATTTTGATAAATTTTATCAAAATTTGATCTTTAAATGCTTATAAAAAAAAATTGTGCCTATGTATTTTTAATATTTTTCAATTGCTATTGTAACAATATATCAGGAGCTTTGTATTAAATTTTTACACTTTTTGGCCCAACAGATAAAACTTTATTGATATTTATAGAAAAAAAACTAAAAATGTCCGTAAATGGCTCAAAAAGAGTCAAAATATTTTTAAAATTGTACAGTGTATAGGAAATGCTAATATGAACATTCAGTGAAATTTTCATGTATCTACAGTTATTCGTTTTTGAATTACAACAAAATAAGGCAATCGCTACATGAGTGAATCCAATGTAACAAAAATTTGAATTTCAAACGCTCATAAAAATTTAATTTGACTTTCTTATAGACATTTTTTTTTTTTTTGATAAAGGTTGATAATCTTATAAGGAATCTTGTATTACATTTTCAAATCTTAGATTTAAAAAGAAAAATTTTTACGAATTCTTAACTCATAATAATTTGCTAATTTTGGTGATTTTTCCATATTTTGTCAATTTTTGAACTTTAAATGCTTATAAAAAAAAATTTTGACTAAGGATTTTTAATATTTTTCATCTGCCTTTGAAACCATAGCCTTCTATTAAATTTTCAAGCTTTCGAAGCCAACAAATAAAATTTTATTGTAATTTTATGAATAAAAACTCAAAAAAAAATAGAAAATAAAAATGTTCCTAAACAGTTCAAAACAAATCATAATATTTTAAAAATGTTATCGTGTATAGAAAATGCAAATATAAACAACCAGTGAAAATTTCATGTATATACGTTCATTTGTTTTAGAGTTACACCAAAAACCAAAATCGATTTTTTGGAAAACAAGTTTTTGCGTAAAAATTCTCGTTATTCCTTAATTTTTATGTGTTAACTATGTTAACTTGTGAAAACTATTGGGAATTTTAAAATTTGATCTCCCGAATGCACCAACTAGATTCACTTTCCAATCGAACATGATACTGAAGTTGAAAATCGAAGCATTATTTCGACTACTTATCAGTTATCGTGTACACAGACACAAAAATAAATAAAATTTAAAATTAAAAAAACACACATCATTGTAAAATCAATATATTCATCGTTCCACTCAGAATCTAAAATGTAAATTTCCTTCTAATAACCTCATAGATAATTATGTATTATCTATGAATAACCTATTCATATTCTTGTGTATTTGTAGTGTTCAATGTAAGATTTATTTATTTGGTTGCACAATCAATTGCTAAAATAATGAATTATAAAAAATAAAATAACACTCATCAAAAATAATTTAAATGATTGTTTAATTTTTTTGCTTTGAGGAAAATTAGTAATTACTATTTAATGATAATTTTTATATTATTTTATAACTTGTTTTAGGTTTAAGAGGAGCTATTTCATATGCATTGTCATTACATTTAGAATTCAGTAATGAAACAAGACATGTGATAATCACAACTACATTGTGCATAATATTAGTCACAACTTTGTTGTTTGGTGGTTCAACAATGCCACTAATGAAGGTAAATTTTCTTCACTTAAAAAATCAAACCAATACTTAAGTTTTTCCCTCCAGATTTTGCAATCATCAAAATCTGGGAGAAGCACTCGCCGTCGAAGAAAAGACAAAGCTATATCTCTTAGTAAAACAAAAGAATGGGTAATTTCAAAATATACAAATTAGTTAGTTTTAATTATCTAATATATTATGTTAGTAATTATTTGTACACATTTATGTTAGGGGCAAGCAATTGATTCTGAACATTTATCAGAACTGACTGAAGAAGAATTGGAAGTTAATTTTATCCAATCAAGAATCAGTGGATTTGCTAAAATGGACATAAAATACTTCATACCATTCTTCACCAGACGTTTTACACAAGAAGTAAATTAAAAATTATATTTAATTATGAAGTTTTCATTATTATATACAAAATTGTATATAATTTTAATTAAAAATTATTAATCCATATGATGTTCAATATTTTTTGAAAAACTGAAAAAAAAAATATTTTAGGAATTGAAGGATTGTAAAACACAGATGACCGATTTAACTAATCAATGGTATCAGGCAATTCGTATATCACCAACTGCATCAGATGATGATAAGACTGCAAACAATGGACTGCCCCAGACATCTAGCCGCCAATCTAGTTGACAATTACAGCAACCACCAGTTGTGAGGCAAAGTAATGGAGGGGAAACGCAGTCTTTGATACACCGACAAAACTTCAAAATATAACGGTTTTGTTTTACAGGTAATAATTTGTTAAGTGACATTCAGAGCTTGTCTGCATCGAGTTTACCACATACGACCAGCCAACCGCAATAATTTTAACAACTTTACTATTCAATGTACTTAATGTATACATCAAATATAAACAGAATTTATTCCAACTATTCTGATGGCTGGTTCACAAATCTTTAATGACCATTGTGAATTATGACTCTATAAAATTTGGTGTAATTGAAATGTACTTTAACACTTGAAGTCTGAATATAAACAATACATTTGATTGCACAAATTTATACTGTTAATGTTATACTCTAGAATTTTTAAAAACAAGTGTGATAGTCATTGTAATTTATGTACTTTTGTGAAGTTCATAACATTCTATTTATTTTTTTGTTTTCGTTTAAATATTTAGTTTATCTTATATTTATAATTATTTCTATATGATGAAAGTAACTGCCTTGAAAATAAAATAACTACATAATATATATTTTTTGAAAAATGCCTGTGTGTGCCATTTAATAATTATTTTTGTATACCTAATTACATTAAAATGATGTATAAAATGAGCTTCTTATAATAAGCACACAAGTATACCATTCTATTAAATGCTTGCTCTTGCATTAATACTCAAACATAAATATATCATAACTACTTCCCAGGGCTTCTGCTTGAATGACATCTATTTTTTTTTATTGTTACTATTAATAAAATATAAATACATTATTTAGGGTATTTTCCCAATCATCATAATATTATGTATGCAAGTATGCATGATATTTATAAACTATAATATTATGTTATTGCATTATTTCATATTTTTTTGGTATTTACAGATATTTTTGTAAATACTTTTTTTTTCTGGTCAGAAGTAACAAAAACAAATTCCTTATTTTGACTTTTAAACAAATTGGCAGTACTTTTACTCATATGTTACCTTTTTATTTTAGTTTACTTTCAATATAATGTATTAATAATGTATCATATTATTTTGTTGATATATTATTCTATTGTGATATAAAATAAACATTATCAAAAACGAAATGATTTATATTTTTTGTTTTGTTGAATTATATTTGTAATGATTATGGATGCTTAAGCTTAAATAGATTACAGTAAGTTGTTGAATACATGAGTGATTGTTAGTTTTAAGATTAATATTAATGCCATTAATAGTGTTAATTTATTATCTACATCATATTTGTGACATAATTATGTGTATTATTGAAATATAGTTCATCTTGATTCCAGTGCCGTAGACAGGAATGATATATTTGGGGGGAGGGATTATCATAATTATTACATATTATATAATAAATAAATAAATACATTGATATACTTTCCATTTTGTAAGAATGGGTCTGAACTCCTCCCCCCCACCAGTGTCTACGGCTCAGCTTGGCTCTATAGATAAACACAAATTTAATTTATATACAGGTTAATAATATATTGCAAAATAGCAAAGCTTTCACAGTTATAGATGTAGTATAGACTTTAGTGTCTACAATCATAAAAATGAATGATTTTGGTATGTATTGTAAATGTTGTATTTTATATAGACTTTATTTATCTGTGATATATGATATGACTATAAGTTATTTTATATTAATAATAATAACAATATTAAATCTACAAGTTCAGAAATCTAATAATGTAATTTTTTTCTGACTTCCAGACCTCACAATTATTTAAAAAAATTTTATAAAATAGGTATATTGTTTTAATATTTATTTACACATTCTTACTTGTAAGATAATATTAAATCAAATCTGGTATAATCAAATATAATCTGGTATTTCCAAGAAGATTTCTTATAAATCAGTAATCAAGACTTAAATCCAACTTAGCAAGACTTAAATGCATAATATTTTAAAATATCATTTTTGTCATTGAAATTAAATTATTAATTTAAAATAATTAACATAAGTAAAGTTATTGAGACAATGAAAATTGGTTGTACATCGCCATTGAGTTGTGTACTGTAATGGGTGTGATTCAAATTTGAATTCAATGATAAATCATTGCATATTATAGGTATAAAACCGGGGCACCTTAGTTACGTCCCACTATTGGTTATATTTTAATAGGGCGTAATATTATATTATCAATAAAAATAAAATATCTTTATAACTGGTTAAATGTACGAGTATACTCAATCGATGACAATTCAATATTAAATATTAATTTTAACGTAAGACAAATTATTAAACTTTTAAGTTCTTGCAATTATTTTTATTACTTCAATAAAGTAATATTTAATAAATTATACTTGTCCAAAACTTTCACGCTTTTATCACATACAAAATATGTCTGGATTAAAAAGAAAATATATGGGTGGTGCATTGGTATGGAAAAACTTCGAATTAAAGCGAACAAAAAAAAAAAGAAATTAAAAATTGAAAGGTTCTCTTGACAATTATGTAATGAACAATTTAATTACATCAGAAACGACAGAAACCTTAATAAGTGAAACAATAGCAAAAAGCTAGTTTAAATAGTAATTTATTGAGAAATATGTTGTACCTCATCTGGTACCTAAGTATTTATTCCTGTAAATAATAGTAACTATACTAGTTTCCCAACTTGTAATAATTTTAATTATTGTTATTGAAAACTGGGTTACAAATCTACATATTTGACCATGCCTTGTACGAATTATAGCAGTGAACGTTCTTTCTCAGTATTAAAACGCATAAAACTCGATTGAAATCATGTTATCTCAAGATAGGCTTGAAAATCTGACTATTAACAGTAGAGCACGAAATAACAAAACAATTAGGTATTATAATATGATGATATCATTTTATTTAAGTTTTCGAGAGACTTTAGAAGAAAACATTGTAATTAAGTTTAAGTGTAAATATGTAATTTATTTATTTATACATAAATGAAATAAAATATGCATTTTTGAATAACATAATTAAAAACTTTATATGAGGCCTCATTTTTTTTTGAATCCCTGGCCCCAAAATTTGTTAATCAGGCTCTGAAATCACGGGCTAAAAATTAAAATATATTATGATTTTGCTTCGATATTCACAGCGAATTACACCTAAAAGGAGTTAATTAATCAAAATAATTAATTTTTCGTGCAACGCCGGTTCTTCAGCTAGTATTATATAATATTATAATATATCTTCGTTCAACCAGATACTAAATTTAGTAAATGCATTGAATATAAATTGTTCCTATAATCTATATCATACATGGTGGCTTCACAGACATAGTTTGGGAGAATGATAATTTTTTTTTCGATATTTTAGTAATATGATTTTTGTAATTTTGTTTTGAACAGTATACAATTGTTTAGAAATACAGCTTGAGAGGGGTGGCTCTTATATGGATTTCTAAAATCATCAGGCAATTTTCATGAAGAATAAAGCTAAGGTATTTACAAAATAATAACTTATAATTTATTAAAAATACATAATACATAAAATATCAGAAAACAATCAGTTTTATAATTTATTCATTATTCCAAAATTTTTTTCTTGTTGACAGCTTTTGTAGGTACATTTTCAGTTTTGTTTAATCTGTAACAATTACAACAAAATTAATTTTGTAAATTATATTGTGATGAATGATGATAAATCAAAATACACGAGTCATATTTAAAGTACAATATGGTTTATTAAATTAACGGTTTAAAGATTTACAATGATTTTTTTTTTTTAGTGATTATCATCACCTTTTGTAGCAGTAAAAATGCATCAATCTTCAACTTTGAGGGTAGTTTCAGGGTTTCTAGTAACAATTGGTTTAGGTATTTATTCCCATTTCACGAAAAAAAAAAAAAAAAAAAAAGAAAGAATAACCAGTGAGCAAGTAGATTTTGCTGTACAGTAGGTGTGAGTTCATCTCACAATTCAGTAATGGATGTATTAAATTAGAATTCAAATATAAGTTATTGAATACGAAAAATGATTCATAGCTGAAATGGTCTCTGTCAGCCGTTTTTACTAGGTATGTATGTTTTATTTTATTTTAAATGTAATATATTGCTATTTATTTTAAAGTTTGAATACAAATGTTAATAAATTGTTATCAGTCAAGGTCTCGTAAGTTCATGCTCGGAAAGATTCCTAAATAAACATGCAATTATGCACTAAAAATTGGCAAAATATGCTTTGAAATGTACCTTAAAAAGTACTGAAACGTGCAGTTATATGCACTAAAAATCTAAAACTATGCATTAAAAATGTGTAGATTAAAAAAGAATAAATCATAAGAAATTTTTAAAATAGCATGAATTATCCTTTCATAATTTAAAAGTTTCACATTTAATCATTTCACGTTGCAACTATAACCATACGTTTTATAATATAATGTAAAAATATAAATTATTGAATTTTTCATCAGTTTTTCATAGTATTTTTATAAAAAAATATCAATAAGAATGTCAAAATTATGAATAATATGACAATTGAAAGTTGAAACCCCCATAAAAATGCCAATTCGGGAAAAAAACTGCAAAATAAAACTTCACATACTGAACCATAGTGCCTTGCAATGGATCTCTATGTCATCTAGGCTATCTAGTATTAAATACAACTTACATCTGTATGTAAACACATGAACTTATTACAAATTTTTTTAGTTTTTATGATTTGTATTAATAATTATTTTGATTTTTGGTAAATACATTTTAGATTCTGAGCGGAGCAAGGAAGCTAGTGGTTTTACAATGGTGTTTATTTTTATATCCTGTATACAAAATTTCTACCAGAAGGAGTTCTTCGATTTCAACATATAGTACCTTATCTTTTATCAAATTGGATCAAGATGGTACTTTAGAGAGGTCATTTTTCGATTTTATCAATAGTTATTAAATGCCACGGTAGAAATCACCGAAAAATTACGAAAAACCGCTAAAAATTGGATTTTAATATCTAACGCTTTGTTTATTACCATAGAAACGAATAAAAAATTATAATATAATTCAACTTACATGCCATAATAATTTATGACAATATAAAGTATCTAGACTGACAAGAATCTCAGAATCGTTTTTCTTATGCAATGATAGAATATCATTGAATTCAAGTTTAAATGTTTTTTTTTAGTTTTTAATACCTATTCCTACCAAATTTTAGGTAAACTATTCTGTTTCAGATTATGAAATATAAAATATAATTTGTTGTCATTAAATGAAATTTAAAACCTTACGATTATTTTTTTTTTTTTTAATGTCGTGTTTTATTATTTAAAATTAACCATAAAATAATTTGTCTAGTACAACAACAAAACAATTGACGGAGATAACTAGGTGCCGCCGAATGATTCACGTTTAAAAAAAAAACATATAGTGGGAAACCATTGAGTAATCCTGCAATATGACGCATTGTGACAGCAATTATTAATTAATGTATCTATATAATGAATTTAGAAAGTATTGTTTCTACATTACCACGTCATGCTTTTTCAAATCTTACTATAGGTACATGCATTTTTATATTTTAGATTCTGATTTTTCCCTGATAGCAGAAGAGTGTATTTATTGCCTTATATATTTTCAATTACCTTATTTTGTTTTGTTTGTGTATCGTCGTCTTCGTCGTCGGTGAACGAGTCTATCGCTGGGAAGCAGCTACTGGCGCAAGCTAACAAAACCTCCAGAATTGAGTTGTAAATTTTTTTCACGTCCAGATACTTTTGACAGACCATAATCCACGAGCCCAAATCGACGAATCTATCGATAAATTTTGCAGATGAATCGATTTTGGTTGCCATTCTATATTATTGATATTCTATGTTCGACGGTGATTTTTTCTGTTTACCCGTTGTGTTTCAATATGGTTTTAAACCGGTGAAAAAGCCAATAATACAATAATGACCCTAATACCAAAAACGATAGTTTTGTGGTAATTACACCTGCAATATACCTATATAATAATATAATATTATAAAATGTATATAGTTCAGACACCTTCGTCCTATGGCGCACTACGACAAACTACAAAGTGGAAGCACGGAGTACACTTCAGAGCACTACAGAACCAGGAAATATAATTATATATAATAGGTACCTATATTGTATTATATTAAAATATTACACAAAACCGTACCGGTTTTATTGAGTTAGGTTAAAAATTACATGTTCTTCCGCATTTACCTGTTTTTTGTATGCGTACAAACAGTTTAATAATTAGTAATATTATATAGGCTGATGTCCGTATTAAAATGTTTTAATGTTTTATACATGTTTTAAATACTTACGAGCAAACATACTTTTACAATTTAAGCGCGTGTGTATTAGCCTTGAAATCGTGTACGGTGTACCTATATATATATATATATGTATACGTGTACATAATATTATTTATAAATAATAATACTATATTTAGGTATACCTATATTTAAATGAAACACATGCAAAACTATAGAATTTGGCATTGATATTGGTTTTTTGATAAAAAAATAAATAATATTTTGTACAAACGAAATAGAATATATTATATTAATAGCGATATCGTTCATTATTTCCCTCAGTTTTGTTCTTTCGTCGTTATTATGTATTGGTGGGTACCTACCATAATGCCTTATAAGTTATAACTTATAGCTATCCTGCCAGGAGTTTCCTGTGCCAAATATTTGTCTTTTTATGAATATATTTGTAAAAAGCGAGTTAGTGAATATCGCTCTGCTGTGCAGTAGGTTACAAGTGGGTCATTGTATAATGGATTGTATTAAACTTGAATTCAATTGAGGAGTAGTAGTGTTCACACAGATCCTCCTCTGCTGTCGGTTCAAACGGAAAAAAAAAAAAACTTGAATTCAATGATATTCTACGTATTGTACCTATAAGAAAAACGATTTCTGACGGTTTGTCAGTCTGGATATTTTATATTGATATATAAATTATTATATCTTGTAAGTTGAATTAATATTATAATATTATAATTTTTTATTCGTTTCTATGGTAATAAACAAGGCGTTAGATATTAAAATCCAATTTTTAACGGTTTTTCATAATTTTTCGGTGATTTTTACCGTGGCATTTAATAACTATTGATAACATGTATATAAAATATTGAAAAATGACCTCTCTAAAGTACCATTTTGATCCAATTTGCTAAAATATAAGGTTCTATATGTTGAAATCGATGAACTCCTTCTGGTAGAAATTTTGTATACAAGAAATAAAAAATAAACACCGTTGTAAAACCACTAGCTTCCTCGCTCCGCTCAGAATCTAAAATATATAATATATATTATACCATATTTATACTAATGGTATAATTTATAATGTATGTAAGATGTAACCAATAGCAACCATCTAATTAAACCAAAAAACTATTCTTTTTTTGTTAGCTAAAAAAAAATTCCCGTGTGAGCTACCTACAGGAGTTGAAAAATAAACTATAAACACCTTCCAGGCTCCAAGTCTCAAGGATTTAGTTTGTGGAAAATCAGTGTTGTTGGTGTTGTTTGGCTTTGTGAACTAATTCGATCGAGACAGATAATTCGATTGTAGCAGATTGGATAATATAACACTTGGTATAAATCGAAAGAAGTTCAAACTACTCTCTAAAATTTCTTGATATTATATTTCTAAGAACAATTTGAAATTTTCACAAATTCGGTCAAGTAGATTTTGCTTATAAGCTACAAACATACATACTTATATAGTTATATATAACGTACCTATTTGAAATTGTGATATTATTTTAAATGTATACTATAGGTATATATAAACCTAAATAGTATATTGCTATGCGCCTATGCCTACTTAATTAACTATACTTTACTTAACATATACATTAAATTATAAATTGTATTATTTAATACAGATAAACTATCAAGATTTGATAGTAAATCTTTTCCTAATGCCTATAAGCATGAAATATTCTAAATGCTCTTGTGTTAACTCTCGTGTGAATTTCTCAAAAAAAAATTTAGTTTTGAAAACTAACCTTCTCAAGAAACTTGCGTAAGTTAAAAATGTTAAAATGAATTTGTCGCATAAAAATAACCCAGAATAAGTTCCACTAAACAATTAATACAATTGCTTTCACCATGAATGTTATTACTTAATTCACATTTTTCATAATATTTATTTTCATCGATGTTATCAGAATCATCTTTTATTTCATTTGAAAACTCATAGTAATGTGGCTGAATACTTTTATAGTTTTATTTACATTTTTCCATTCAGAACAAAAATCTTTTAATTGAAATTGAAGATCATTGAATGTTAATGTAGACAAAAATTGAGAAATTATTTCAAATACTTGTTTTAAAACAGTTGGAGGTAAATATCGTCTGAATGATCTTGGAAATAATTAGGATAAAGACATGAAAAGTCTGTACTTAATGACTAATAATGCTCATTGTTCTGCATACCTTTTTTAAAACTGTTAGTACCTAATCGATAGAATTCAAACACATAATAAATACCTAAATCAAACTTATTATATTTAAAAATAATAAGTTTAATTTAGGTAGGAATTCATTATGTGTTTTAATACTACCTCTTACATTCATGACATTATAACAATAAACAAGTTTAAAATATGGGTAGGTATATTTTACTTTAACTTAACCGAATAATTATCCATTATTTCTTGGTTGGGTCTAATTTACCCGAATAAAATATCAACGGGGAAATTTACCTCCGGTTGCCTTAGGAGCAAACCTTGAGCGAGCTGAGCCGTATCATATATTATAATTTATAGTATAAATTTAGAGTATTTATGCATTTCTCATTACTCCAAAGCAACAATTTGAGTTTACATTTTTACAAAACAATTTAAAAGAGTATTGCCCCTATGCATGGTCAATGTCTGTGTCACATAAGTAATGTTAAATTATGCCTTAAGTAACACATAAATTTACATATATGGACTTAAGTCTTACTCGATGTACTGAAAGACACAACTCAATAAATGTATTTTATGTTTTTCATCCAGTCATTATATCTCTTTTTAAGAAATTATATTGCTTTCAAATACTGAATTATCATCAAGAGGAGCACCTCAGTTACTTTCAGCTATTCAAACATCAGAATTCAATGTAAGTCTATTATTATCATTTATAAAGTATTTCAATACACAAAACATTTTTGTATATATTATATATATTTATAAAAAAAATATAGATTTATTTCAAGCTTTAAATCATATTGACATAATAATTTCTGAAATCCAGAGTGTTGGAAATAATTGTGAGGTAGGGTTTCATTAGTATTTTGAAGAACTAACAGAAATATCAAAGAATGTGGATTTTGAAATCATCGTTCCTAGAAAGGTTAAGCGACAAAAACATATATCTAATTACCTAGGGACAGTTTAGTGTAACAATTAAATTACCGATTATAGCTGGCCTTTATTTTCTCATTTCTAATACAAATTATAATCAACAAGCGATCAAAGATTTAAGTGATTTTTGTTCAAATGATATTGATCAAGAAGTTATTAAAACAGAGGTGAAGTTATGGTGTACACCTTTTGAAAAACTAACAGTAGGTACAAGGTGTTTTTGACGCTCTTGGTAAGTGCAATAAAAACCTGTTTCCAAATGTTTTGAAGCTCCTTCAAATATTTGCAACATTACCGGTTACATCGTGATGTGAACCAGAAAGAATTTTTTCTGCATTAAAATTAATAAAAACGAATCTTATAAATTCTGTTGGCCAATTAAGACTTAATGGATAAGCATCTTTAAATATTCATCGCAAAGTCGAAGTGGCAGTTGAAGAGATAATAGAAAAATTGTCATTGATCCAAAAAAGACGCACTGTTTTTATTTTATAATCTATTCGTATTATTAGTATCTAATATCTATTGACCATAAACTGACATAATGTACCTATACTTATTAATTAATTAAAATAAGATTTATAGTTTGTACGTATTATTTTCAATGTTTTTTGTTTAATATGTTTATAATTAACACCCCCTCCCCTAATCTATATTACTTTTTAATGAATTAATGAATAAAATAATGCAATAACTGTTAAGACATGATATCTGGTTATGAATCCAAATGTTAACTAACCTATGCTACAAACTAGTAACTAATAAATCATCTGGTTTTTTATTTCATAATAAATTATGTTGAACATTATTTGTATGTATGTACCTATCTACCCAATCAGTTTGCTAAAAATGCAAAATAAAATCATTTTTCTATCATAATGTAGGGTTAATAACATAAATAATAATTAATATTTAAAATACTTACGTGTATTATTATAGATCTATGATTCATGTCTCCTTATTCATTTTCGTATAATTTATGTTGAACACCAAATTATTTAAAACTGCATAGGTACTTCAAAATTGTATGAATATAAAATATATTGTGCAATTGTAATTATTCAATAAGAAAACCTTTGTGAATATAATAACACAAATCATAAAATAAAATTATTTAGAAAGACTTACATTTAAAAATGTATAGAACAATTTATTAAAAATCAGTTTGTATTGTATTTCGATAACAACATTTTTCATTTAGCAAACTATAGATACCTAAATAATATAGTAATATTATACTGAACTTGTATGCAATATAATTAGTGTCAATTATAAATTAAACTTAATCTCTAATATAAGTGAACTATAAGTCACATCAAATAACAAAAATATTATAATAAATTATAATTTATAATAGTATTCATATAAATTACAATTACATACTGTGGATTATCAATTAAATATAAATTTTATTATGAGTTATGACAAATTTTATATCCATAAACATTGTTAAATAAACACAATAAGAACCAAATATGTAATAAGCTTATAATTATTGTACTTTTTTGGCATTGAGTTTTTATTGAAACATCAATCTTCTATGAATTATAATTTATCATTTATAGTTTTATCTAATTTAACATATAAGTTGTATATAATTTTAAAATTGAAACGCATGTGTTCACAGTTCACTGAATTTACAAATGAAAGTCTTACGGTTGAATTTATTTGAGAAATGCACATGCTTTGATAACTATTACTTCTTCGCAGAACAGAGTTTTAGAGAAGACATTTTTCAATAATTAAAATACAAATATATACTGAACGATCAGAACTCTCATAGGTTTATAACTTGATACAAGCACTCCCACGCCTTTACGAGGACGTTAGCACACCATTTGTCCGAGTATATTCTCTGACCCGTGAGCAACATCGAAAATGTGCGTTAAGCCATATTGTGTTGATATATTTAATATTGAAGTAAATTTAAGTATTGATCTATACTCAAAGTGAAATTTAAGAACATTATCTGTGTTTGTATTACCTACAGCTTTTTTACAATATCGAAATTTTTCTGCTATGTATCTATATGAGCATTTTTAAATTGTAATATTTTACATACGCATAACGCGCATAACAATTAAAACATCGTAAACAATCCAAGATGACAAGATTCAACGCATAAACATAGATAAAGTTCCTATCTTTAAGTATTTGATAATAGGTCACAATTCACTCTAATATTAAAGGTAACAGCAATACAGCATACTCCTGTATGCAAATAATATATTGTGTTGCACACTTGTTGAAGAGAGAGAAAACAAATGGTGCACTGACATCCTCATCATGTTTTAAATTTTAACCATGTTACGAAACGTACAACAAACGCATATGGTTATGAATTTTAAAATTATAATGTAATATTGTATAATCATCCGTAAGACAACTATGGCATATGTTATTAGGACACCTTTATAAATTAAAATAAATATATAATATAAATAAGTATATATGGTTTAAACGAGTGTAAAAAAGAAAAACAATGTATGATTTGTACATAATATAGACTCAACAAAATATTATTTTTTTTTAACACAATACAATACAATCAAAGTTCACGTTTTAAAAGGTAATAAACATTGTAACTAATCCAATACATGTAAAATATCAAATAGTCAAAAACATAAAAAATATAAACATGTATACAATATACATGTATAATATATAGGTAAAGTAATAAAAAAAAATAAAAATAACATTCTGGTAAACTCAAAGTATTATTGCCATTTTTGTATCACTTTATACAATAAAATATATAAATACAAATCGGCAATTTTATTTTCATTCATACATCAATAAGTTTAAATATTATAATTTATACATTAGGCAAAATGAGGATATGTGCATGAAAAAGCATGGGCTAAAAATAAATAAATAAATATCATATCGTTGAGAGGTAAAAAGAATTTCACATCTACAGTCTTTAGACCTGAGAGAAAAAATATAATAATTAAGTGGTTAAACTCAACCGCGATTATCATGTACTTATCAGTCTCTTCAACTTATCAGATTTTTAACAAAAATAGTTATAAGTATATAATTAATAATTATTAAAAGAAAATTATCATAGTAAAAATATATTATTTTTTAACTATAGTCTTGAGAGTCAAATGTTCGTATATAGTAATATTATTTTAAGTTATTTTATAATATATATACCATTATAATTATTTTAATATAAAATCAAAAGGTCATTTCCACCTCATTTTTAAAATATCACATGCGTAAAAATTTTAATTTAGAAAGACAGGAGAAATTAAAATTTTTTGAAAAAAAATTTGTTCATTTACGCGCGATGAGATCATTCTATCCAGAAATAAATTTAGAGCTTTTGAAATACTGCAAACTTATACATAATAATAACACAATATAATGTATGGCATTTAGTTTTAAGCGTATTAATATTAAAAAGTGGTTTACATATATATTATTTTTATAGATAGTTAAACACGAAATATAAGTAAGTATTGATTTTTACATTGTTTTTTCCAAAAAAAAATACATTTTATAGACTTTTAATAGTGAATGTATAACATGTATCTAAATGTTTGTTTGAGTTTTTAACAAAATAACGATGATAAAAATAGGTATTTCTCATTTTTACACATAACAAATTTTATTTAAATATGTTCCACAATATTGAGAGAAAACGAGTGAATCCTTAAGTTTATCATAAAGTTTTGTTTTTTTAGTTTTTAGTTGTTCCTGCGCTGATCCTCACTGGCCAAAAATCGCGTGGTTATAATTTATTATTAATGTATATACCTTTTGTACCATGAGTGTTCGAATTATGCAAAACAATCTCTCGAAACCTTCCAAGAATTTTCAGTCTTATTACGATTACTCATGAAGTAAAAGTAACTGCGAGCGCGAAGTTGGGAATCATTACAAAACTGTCAAATTAAACACCACCACGAGAGACTGGAATCAATTCGATTCGGGTTGGGCATGGCGAAAACAATAAAAGTGTACAAAAAACAAAACGAAACATTATGTCACGTCGTTGATGGAAGGAAAAAGGAGGATGGGGTAGGGGACTAGAAGATTTTTGGACGTCGCTTTTGTCCCGTAAAATCTCGCGCGTACAAATATTTTATAATTATAAATATACAAAAATCAACGCGAAACGATGGCATAAATATATAAGACGTGAACGTCGTTTACGCGTTCATCAAGTTTGAGAAAGACCGAGACGCGGAAAAAAAACATTTAGGCACAGAGATTTGTCGTCTTCTTCTTATAAACTGTGCTCTTAAGTACCGGGCTCTGGGTCAGGGGCGGACCACCGTCTCTTGTTCCTGCTATTCTTCTCGTCGTCCACAGACTGCTGCTGCAGCTGCAGCTGAGCTTTTTGAACGGCCGCCGAATGATGTTGATGGAGATGATGGAGATTTTGTTGCTGTTGTTGTTGCTGCTGTTGTACGGCTACCGAGACGCTATGCTGCTGCCGTCGTTTTCCGTGCGGTGGCGTTGTCGTGGTCGTTGTCGTCGAGTCAGAAGCTACCGCCGACGATCGTTTCGTCAGCGACACGCACACATCGCCCACCTGCAGCCGCTGGCACGTCAGCCCGTACTTGGCCAGTGTCTTGGCCGGGCTCCACGACGCCCAGCCCCGGCCAAACACGAAGTACGGGTGTTCTGCGCCGCTCTCCATTTCCACCTGATGTGACTTGGACGTCGCGGTCGCAATGGCCGCCACTGAATTCGTCTTTTTGTTGTCACTGCCGATCTAAAAACGAAAACGGTTATTAATTAAACCTCCCGCGACATATTATTATTATCGTCTACATTTTAGTTGGTGAGGCGTGTACTATGTATTTAAGTAGTCCCAACGCTCTAGCTGCAGTCTAGCCGAAGACGCGATTTGTTTTCCTAAAAGCGAAATCTTCCTAACAACAACTCAGACGTGATTAATATTCAAATCGGTACCTATATTGACTATTGTATACCCAGAGATATGGCGTGCGCGCACGTATACACTCAATATTATAATACACGCTTAAAAAAATAATACAATATATCGACGATATTATACTATAATAAACGATAAGATAAATTATAATATTGTATTTTGTATAATATACATGTGACAATGTAGTGTTTGTTTGTTTGTGTGTGTGGAGGGGTGGGGAACAATGCGCGACAACAACCACTCCCACGGATGTTTATAATTGTAATTTGTAACACGCAATGCGGGGCACCACCACCACCACAAAGGAATGACGGATGTCATCAAATATGACGACGGCGGTGTGGCGGGATGACAACGTACGTCTCCCCAACACGTTCCATCGTTTCGGTAACCCGCCGCGGTAAACTGAACACGACGCCGCATCTCGCGCGGATTATAATATGATGCGGGGACGCCCTTGATGAAACTAAGTAGTAACTTTATGATAATATATAACACTGTCGCTGAGTGGCTGCTCTAATGGTACCAATTTATTATAAACGGCGGGCCCAGACGGATGGAAAAAATAATAATAACAAAAACCGATTATGTAAATTTTATAGGAAGAAACGCGAACGCGGCTTGGTGTGCGTGTGACGACCGACGAGTATATGAATTATGTATATATATACGCGCGTTTCTTCGTCCTCGAACAAGGCCAACTCTCCGAACAGGATTTGTACTTCTTTTATTTATTTATTATTTTTTTTTTTTGGCAATAACCATGGGCGTGTATGTGTAATAATATGCGGCGGCTGCCGTCTCTATCGCACGTCGGTCAGTGGTCGGGAGTGCAACAGGTCAACAAACTCGACGCGCGAGCAAGATGTTGATGGAGTCGGAGAGATGGTCGTCGACGACTGAAAAAAAGCAATTATTCTATCATATTATATACGTGACGTGTGTTATTTTTTTCGTCCAACTACGAAGACTTCGGAAAGATGAATACGAGGAGTGGAGTTACCTGCGAGCGCGGTGAAGAGGCGATCAATCGGTCGTCGGTGATGGCGAGGAAACGCACGGGCAGGTGAGAGGGAACGATGGCGAGGCGGAGACGGGAGACCGATATAAATAATATATATATTATAAGCCTACTACAACGACTACGTTAGCCTACATAGTAATGACCCTGCCTTGCCTCAAGGACGAAATTCCCCCACTGCCGCGCGCAATCACCGCTTGACGATATTTGCTTGTGCGCGCGATGTGCACTATGAGTACCTACTATGTATTGGGTTACGTAGAACAACGCGAATTTATAAAAAATAATATATGACATCGCGCTCGTACGCTCTCCGATAGTCAATACACGTTTCAAATGTGCATACAACAACGTTCCCATATTGAATCGCGAACGTCACGTCGGAGGGACGCCAACGACGACGCATGCGACAGCGTTGCGATTTCGGACACGGCCTCGTCCGGATTATATAGGTACCGTCGCCAGTCAAATACTACACCGCACGTTACAATAATAAAACTAATAAAATATTAAATGATTAATGATAATTGTTTGGATGTTGATATAATATTATAATATTATTATCTCGATCACGATAACGTTTATTTGATATTATTATTTTCTTGCGATAACTCAACAGCGTGTCCAAATCACGTCCTCATCACTGTCGATCGTGATTCACGGTACAATCCTGACGAAAATATAATTTATAAGTTGTAAACTTGTAACCGTCATAATAAATATTTTATTGTTGTGGCTGTCTGTGGCATCTATATAAAACTATAACGGCCAAACTCTTGAAATTGCACACAAAGAAAAAGATTCACATCTTAACTACTCCACACGGTTTTGAATCAATATTCGACATATACACGGCGGAACATATTATTATTATCACATAATATGTATAATAATTATACATATTATGTACGGTGCGGAGTCATTATTCTTAGGATAATAAATAGTATTCGATTTTATTGGGTTTAAAACACGTTCGGCGTTCATTCATACGTAAATTAATAACGAATAAGTAATAATAATGAATAATGAGTAAAGATTATTATGATTGTCACCTAATGTAAGTTATATTGTGTACACATACATCTATAGTTTTTTATGGAACATACGAAATAAAACCACTTCTAACGCCAAGTAGCGACGCGTTTTATTGCTTTTCATATTTAATAACCCATTTATTATAGAGTCTATAATGCATACACGCTGTACACACAACAGCTTGTTATTAGAATGCTTACAAATCAGATTCATTGTATTTGAGCAGATAGTTGTTTTTAAGCAAGCTTAGTTTGTTTAGTAAAAAAAAATTTACATTTCAAGACAGCTGACCCAAGCGCTAATGGTAAATTGTTGTTGTATAGTACAAAGGAAAATTGCATTATGTGCATTTAACATAATATCCAGTTGGCTTGATTTCAACAACGCGCGTTATGAATCAAAAAAATCTAAATGTAACTTGGAATTATTTATGTGTTTAATATTTTAATACAATTAATTATATTATATGGTTTTCTTCGTACTACAAAAACTAAAAATTCTAAAATATTTAGATATGTAAGTATATTTAATAGGTGAAAACGATTTCCACGAGTTATGGCTCTAGTAAAACAGTTTACCAAACATTTACGGAACACAGAAATGTTATCTATAGACTGACTACCTATATAATAGAAGTAAACATTATAACATATTATTTTGTAGGTAATAACTAATAAGCTAATAATAGTAATAACTAATGTGTGTCGTGTGTGTACTCGTGGATTTCAGTTTGCCGATAAAAAGCGAATTCGATACGAAGATAGTGTTAAACATTATCAGATTTCGGTAATCGAAAACTGTAGTTTAAATTACTTGAAAATTGAACGGTCAATCGAAGGGAAACGTCGTAGGAATGAAAAGAGACTACACAAACACGCATATTGTGTGGGTTCTACTAAAGTGCTAAATTTACCAATAATGTGGTAAAAGTGGTAAAATAGCTATATCTTAGAGCCATTGTTATTTTTTACTATTAGACATTAGTAAATACGATTTGTATTAGGTGATAATTAAGTGATAATTTCTAATGGCAGGGGGCTGAATTATACTACCAATATAATATTCTCGAATTTCTTAATTTTGCTATATTTTGACGGCTGATGGTTTATTGCGTTTAAATTGGGACAAGAAAAAAAATAAATGGTTTTAAGGGCCTCATACCACTTTGCTCCTCAGCAGGCGAGGATCTAGAAATGAAAAAAAGGGGGGCTAGACAAAAAAATTTACTTAAAGTACATAAAAGCATGAGCATTTAGTTTAAGTTTTGAAATATTTTAGGTACCGAAGTCCTAGTCTAAGGGCGGGCTTCAGCCCCCGTAGCCCCTCTTGTATCCGCTCCTGAGGAGTCCTTAGTCCTCACATGTCTGTGTACTGTACTACAGTCAATACAATGTACAATGTGCTAAATGCTCTTCACCTATCTGTAAGCAGTAAGGCATTGTATATTATATTAACTACGCAATATAATGTATATAGCTAAAAACAACAAGCAATATGTATTTAATGACCTATTTGTACCTACATGAGCATATGGTCGCAATTAGGGTTGAAATTCTGGGGGGCTACAGCCCACCTAACAAAACTATTCATTTAAAATAACCTATAAGCGGCTTATATCTAAATAAATAAGGAATATTTTGTAGAGGGGTCTGAAATCTGAATCGTAGTCCCCTCCCCCCTCATAGCTGTGCCACTATACATGGGCCTTATATATTTGGTCGCAAACCCACCAATATGTACCAAGTTGCGGCACTGTATATAAACAATAACAAATATACATCAATATTACAAATGATAATATCACAGTATCAGTTGATAAAAATGATATCTCTTTACAATTCAGACTACGCGTTTTTGATTTAATTTGATTAGAGGGGCCACACAACATTTTTTTGGTAAAAAATGATTTACCGGTAAAAAAAAATTGGTAAAATTTACAGGAAATATTTTTACTGGTAAATTTACAGCACTCACATCTCTAGAAAAATGTATAATATATGTGATATGTATATTGTATACAATGTTCTGAGAGCATAATATATATTTTTTTTATGAATGACGTGTGACAGCAAATTACCGATTACGCAGAAAACGTCAATGCCGAGGTCAATGCGGAGAGAGGAGGCGCGTGACTCTTCTGGCTCCTATCGCAGTTTATAATATGTTTCAATTTTTCGTCGGGTCGTGATTTGTTTTTTTATTTAATTTGTTAATCGGATATTATTAAAATGTACACGGTTTTATTTAAACATTTTTTTTCCGTCTACTATTTATACAATCATTAAATGATGAAATTAAAAAAAAATTTATGAAAAAACCGAATTACGTCCTTTTACTTAGGGGGTGGCGAATTTTTTACTTTTTAGCTATACGCTATACTCGTTTGTATGGGCCCCGTTTATCATTATTAATTATAATATAACTAAGTATATGGGTTTATTAACTATTCTACATTGTCACTAATATACAGACAGTGTATTATTGGAATTTAATACAAATACTATAAACTTTTTACTATTATTATTATTGAAACACAAAACGCCCAAAAATCATTGAAATAGATTTAAATATAAATACGTCATTATTGTATAACATCCGCCCACTACACTTAATGACTTAAATGTGGATACGGATAATGTATATACGATGTGTAATACAAATGAATATTTATAAGGTGTTTCCTAGGAAAAATACTGCACGAGCTCTATTATTAATTATTAACCCAATATCACTTTTTTTCGTTTTCACAGTTTAAACATGT